ATTTTCGATTACTTGTCTTTTGGAATGAATCCTGTGCTTAGCCCCCCACATAATCGGCAACGACAACAACACATGCAACGCAAACCCTTTCGGCGACGGAGTAGCAAACGGAGACGCTTGTTCTAACCGCTCCATAGATGTGTTGCCTCCCTACAGAGCTAATCATTAAATTGATAAATCTTATCCTTTATATTCAAGATAAATACATCGTCGTGAATTAATGATGCGGGGGGAAAAAGAACCTACGAAAGTGAACTCAGAAGTTTAAATGTTCATATACTCACTTGTCGGACAACTGCAGAAGAGACATGGACAAAGGTAAAATCAACATACGGTATGTCACCGCAGTAGATTTTTCTCAAGCATATCGCGAATCTGTAAACGTTGCATCTTCTGTTGTAGTGTTTGCCATTTAAAACTTAAACACAATGAATTATTATAGTATTTGTTTAAGTCATCTGAGAGAGGAGAAAGAGAGAGAGATTAGTGTATATGCATTAGGATCGATGTATCCAAGAGTACCAGTTTAAACAGTCATGTTCCTTTGGATTCTAAGCTTCCATCCGAACAATCCCAAAATCATCTATCTTCCTCGTGTGTAAAAGCATATTCTCCATTTTCACATCATGATGAACGGTCTTCTTCTAATGCAGATAGCGTAGCCTGCAATAAATGCGCGGTCAAACTAACCCGTAGAGGCAAGTGAAAGTTGTCTTCTCCTGATCATTAGGGTGAATAGGGATTTGAAAGAATCCCGAGTAGCCGTCAAGAAAACAAAAATAGGAATGAAGAGCAAGACGTTTAAGCATTTGATCAATGAAAGGTAAAGGGAAATGATCTTTGCGAGTGTTTTCGTTCCCTAATCATTTTTTTAATTGTCATGTTCTTATGTATAATCCTGTTTTTTTTTTTAAATATGTATCCGGATGTATAAGGATTTGATAGTGTATAAATGTGTTTGTACCTGTGTGATTTGAGTGGCAAAGTTGTTAGAGAGTTGCGGTCAAGGGGCTATCGAGAACGTCGGGCCAAGGCGAAAATGAGTTCAGGAACGAGTGGATGATATCAAAGGTCTCAACCCTTCATTGTGCATGCATCGAATTCATCTGGAGGACGATTCCAAATCATCCATCAAACATCAACACAGACTCAATCCATCGATGAAGGAAGTCGTCAAGAAAGAGGTACTAAAACTTTTGGATTTCTTGACCACATTTTGGTATATATTTTTTTACAAACACACATAATAATATATTTATAAGCCAATTACAATATTAATAAGGTTATCTCCACTTCTCCACCGTGTGGTTTAGATTTGAAGATGCAATTTAACCCTAATAATAATCATGGCCATTAGTGGGTAATAAATACTCTTACGTTTTTGTTTAGTAGTGGGTCAATTGATTCTACTATTGACCAGTTTGATCTGGTGTAATTTTGAACTTATTAAATTATAATAAATTTTACTTTTATAATTATCATAACGGTCATGTAGATGTATAGGTGATTTTAGCAAATTGCTTCAAACATCGCTATTATTATTTATGTATATGGTAAAATTACTTTTTTTTGTACTATTATATCCATGTAAGAATTTGAAAAGTAGGAAATAATAACTTCGTTTTCTTTGTTTTTAATTTTCTTCTTAATCTTCCCTATTTTTAATTATAATAATTGAATTTTTTTTGGATATTTATATAAATGTATTCAAATAAAAAAACTTAATAATATATTAAAATAACAGACAAAATAGTTTTTTTTATAAAATAAAGATAAACTTTTTCCTTTTTCTTAAAACTATAATAATTTGTTAAAAATTCTGTTAGTTTTATAAGACATCTTTTTTTTCAGAAGAAAATTGTATCTCATGTAAAAATTAGTGATATTCTAATCAAAATATATATGTAACTAATGGAATTTTTAAACGACTAATCAGAATGTAGAAAATTGCCACATAGATGCTTAGGTACGGTGATAAGAGTATTTATTATCCACCTATGCTAATGGTATATTGAAAAGTTTAATGGTTAATGCTGATATTAATAAACATTTTAATGAGTTTTTTTAACATAGTTATTTGATTTTGCATTTGGCGTTATGTTTTGAATCCATTTAATAAACAATTGGCATTGAAACGACGATGAGCGAAACTAACCTTAAAGCTAAAACAAAAAGTGGTTGGAAAAGTCATCTCCTTATTTTTCGTTCCCTAATCATTTTTTTAATTGTCATGTTCTTATGTATAATCCTGTTTTTTTTTTTAAATATGTATCCGGATGTATAAGGATTTGATAGTGTATAAATGTGTTTGTACCTGTGTGATTTGAGTGGCAAAGTTGTTAGAGAGTTGCGGTCAAGGGGCTATCGAGAACGTCGGGCCAAGGCGAAAATGAGTTCAGGAACGAGTGGCGAAGCTTCAACACAGAAATCTGTCAGGCTTCTCCCGTTTTGCTTTGAAAGAGAAGAGAAGATATGTGTCAACGAGTTTTTCCCCAACAAAAACCTCGATAACTTCCTGTTTGGTCTGTTGCAATACCTCTATTACTTTTTCGTTTTGCCCATCAAAAGTTTGGATAATCCTTTAGCCACCGTATTCTCCACTAATCCCCTAATGAAAACGGTTACTACTGGAAAAAGGCGTTCTAAATTTTTTCATTACATGCCCCTTTTGTTTTGTTTTTCAAATGATCTTACCATTGAAGACCCGTTTTCTGCGGAAGTTTAAAATCTCTTGAAAACCCTTTTATATCAAAAGTTTGTCGGTGTCGTTTGATGAACAATCGTTGTCTTCTCGAGCATGTTGTGTTTGTGGATCTCTCCCGAGATTAATTTCGAATAAAATCTTTCCATTGTGTCTATTTGAAAAAACCGTTAGTTTGACCGCGCATTTATTGCAGGCTACGCTATCTGCATTAGAAGAAGACCGTTCATCATGATGTGAAAATGGAGAATATGCTTTTACACACGAGGAAGATAGATGATTTTGGGATTGTTCGGATGGAAGCTTAGAATCCAAAGGAACATGACTGTTTAAACTGGTACTCTTGGATACATCGATCCTAATGCATATACACTAATCTCTCTCTCTTTCTCCTCTCTCAGATGACTTAAACAAATACTATAATAATTCATTGTGTTTAAGTTTTAAATGGCAAACACTACAACAGAAGATGCAACGTTTACAGATTCGCGATATGCTTGAGAAAAATCTACTGCGGTGACATACCATATGTTGATTTTACCTTTGTCCATGTCTCTTCTGCAGTTGTCCGACAAGTGAGTATATGAACATTTAAACTTCTGAGTTCACTTTCGTAGGTTCTTTTTCCCCCCGCATCATTAATTCACGACGATGTATTTATCTTGAATATAAAGGATAAGATTTATCAATTTAATGATTAGCTCTGTAGGGAGGCAACACATCTATGGAGCGGTTAGAACAAGCGTCTCCGTTTGCTACTCCGTCGCCGAAAGGGTTTGCGTTGCATGTGTTGTTGTCGTTGCCGATTATGTGGGGGGCTAAGCACAGGATTCATTCCAAAAGACAAGTAATCGAAAATAGTTTCCCAATTTTAATATATATGTAATTAGAAAGTCTGAAATATATATATATATATATATAAGTAATTATTAATATTGTAAATAAAGATGATTCCATTGGCGGGTTATTCGAAACGGGAGGATTATATTAAAACCGCCGAAAAGAAATTATACAAATCTACTGATATTTTTAAAAATAGTTTTTGATATATAAAATAAAAATGTCAATAATACATAAGACAATTATATAATAAAAATGGATGATTTTTAAATTTTAATATTTTATTGATATTTTTTATCATCCTTCTAATCAATTATTTTTAAAACTAATTTTTATATGTAAAAATTAATGCTAATCTAATTGAATATTCATGTTTATAATGAAGTTTTGTATAAACCAATCAAAAATTAGAAAACATCCACCTAGGATGATGAGGTGTCTTCACCACAACCCTTTAAACTTCTTTATTAATATATATAGATTTATAAATAAGGTACAAGAGTGAAGAGTCCTTTTCGTATTTATTGTTCACCTTAGACCAACAATATAATTATACGAATTGGTCAGGAAACGGAATTAATTTATTAAGAGCTATATTATGTACATACAATTCAGCTCGTTAATGAATTATAAAAAAATATTTTATTGTGTTCATTGGATTTGTATTATATTATGCATACAAGCGCGTACCATTTTATTTTGGATAATCCCGACAAATGACTGAGCGCTAGAAAAGATAATTGCATTAAAACATGGCTAAACCAGTCAATCGCCGTTGAATTCCATTCACAAATCTTGATTTACTCATACTAATGAAAGAATAATATTAGTTTTACTATTCTGCCAGAAACTTTTATGAGAATAGTATTACGTACTATGAAATTTCTTATGTCTAAGACTGAAACGTGTAAATATATTTATGTTTCCTTAACATCACGAGAAAATAAAAAAAAGGGGTATGTGGCTTCTAATGGCTTTGAATTATTGTAGTGTCAAATGCATTGATTTTGTTTTGTCAAGATGATAATAAAAGAAAACTCGAAATTCAACGTTTGGCCTAGGCACGGAACAATGACGGAGACGACGTCGTTTTCGGGGACCTAACAAAAAGTCAGAAGTCTCCTGTGAATCCTTCACCACAAACGCAACCTCTCCACTCCAACCTCACGCGTTGCTGTACGGTACGGCCTTTTGGTTTCCCCTCGAAGACATTGATTTCGAGACACGTTGTAGATATTTGTCCAAGTTTTAACCATAACGTCCACTTCACTTTTTCCTATTATAATTTATTCGGCAACTTTTCATTTTTCATTTCCATTGCAATTTCTTATATATATATATATATATATAATGACACGCACACAATAATAACGTTCAGTGTTGGTTTTCTCCTTGGGTTTTATTCGGCCCAGTGAAGCCCAGTAAGACGTATGTATATAATTATAAAGGCGTTTATAGCTTAATAAAAAAGAAAAGGGCCTTTTATATAGACAAGAAGAGGGTGTTTAAGAGGTGAAGGTGTCGATGATGCCATGATGGGCCAAACAATTTTTTTTTTGATAATATGTGATTTGTCAAGAGTGGGGTTCGAACCTGGGTGGAACACTCTTTGCGCATACCCACCTACCAGTTGAGCCAACCACCTTTGACAATACCGAGATCGAGAACGGAAGCGGTTGTCCCAGTACGATGACCCTTCCACCAGCTCCACCTGTAAATTATGATCAAATTCATCACAAATCTAGAGATTTGATTTCACTCATATGCGTATATTTGATTCGACTCACCGATGGTACATACCTTTCCGGCGTCCTGCCAAGTGACACCGGTGAGCCACTCGACGGAGAGAGCACCGAGATGACGGCCTCAAACTTCGAGGCGTTCCTCTCTTCTTCTTCTTCTTCGCGATAAAAGAGTGTTTTTTGGGGGAGACGATGTTTTGGGTTAAAGAAAGTTGGATTTCCTACGTGGCCATTTCGTTGCCCACTGTCCAAAAACACGTATATTTTAGTGTACTTCGCTTCAAGTGATGGAAAAAATGGTAAAACCAAAGAGACAACATCGAACACATAAATCAACAAGTCGATCGTGTAAAAATAATGGGTCCACAGTAGAATGTCCAAAAATGGTTCGTTTCTATACAAATTCGAATGTGGAGAGACAACTGTCCTCACTGCAGATTGGTAAAAATAGGTGTGAGAGAAAGAGAGTACACAAAGACTATACACAAATAGATAAAAATGCGAGAGAATGCTATGCACAAAGGGAAAGGAGGGAGAGGAAGTCACGGTGGGAGAGGTTGGTAGGAGGAGACGAGACTTGGGTCAGGAACGACAAGAGGCAACTTCTCTATGTACATTAACAGCCTCTTCAGATTCTCCCTCAATATCACAGGCAATTCCACCATCTCCATCGCTGCAGTGTATATCCACAGGTCGCCCGAGTTCACCCTTTTCAGACTTCCCCGACAGAACGGGCATGACTGTGACCGTGCTCGCCTGTCCACACCCACATTTGCCTCGTCACAACCATCGAGAAACATGGGGAATGTTTAAGAGCAAGTGTAGTATGGTGGGTGGTGGCCGGTTCGAGGGTACGGAGGATGCATTTAATTTCGATTAAATGTAGCAAATCTGCCTCCGGAGCCGGGGTGGATGTAGTTGGGCCTTCGGCCCGAAGAACCATCCAGATTAAAAAAAAAAAGTGTAGTATGGTGCAAAAGATCGTAGTAATGGAGAGACATACCAGTTCTTGTAGCATTTCATACACAAGGAGTGAGTGCAAGTGGGAAGAACCACCTTGCTTCTCATCTCCAAGCAGATTCCGCATTCTTCTTCCCTCTCCACATTAATCTCTGATGCCTTCCCCTTGTCCGTAGCGTCTTTTCTCCTGTATTTCTGGTCACATATCTCCCTCTGTTTCCTTTCTTCAACGTCCGTGATCCCCCTGTGAAGCTGCAGTAGTGATGGGAATATCACCTCTGCCCATGAATACCCATAATTAGAAGGACCATGTGAAACCATGGAGTCTGAACACCATATTATCACGGGGGAAAATGGGACCAAAAAGGACCCTCCCGTCCCTACGGAACATATAAAATCTCAGGCTGTATTTGCCCTTTCAGACACTAATCAGATCACTTGGGATTGACTTTGATCGTAGTCGATTTATCCTTGTACATAAAATGCTCAATCACTTAAAACGCGTACCATAGAATTCTTTTATACTAGCTTTCCTTTCTTGTAGTGACATAGTGGTCTTCCCATCCACATATGCCTGTTAAAAAACAAAACACACAAAACTTGATTAGACTAACTTTTAAGATTTTTTATGCCAAAATCAGCTAGAACTCACAAACTCGAGAACATGGGATCGAAATCCGAACATGAGGACCAAACCAAGACACCAACGTGTCCTGAAAGAGCACAAACCTTGTATATAAGGATCCTAAGCAAACCCAAAGCGCCAGCGAAATGACAATCAGTCCACTGAAGAAGGAAGAGAAAGAGATGAGCAGCTGGACTGTAGGACAATCTCATCTGAAGGCACCCACCGTCGTACTCCTCCGGATACTCAGACGCCCTTTTTTCAAGTCAAGATTGTTAAATTGTTACTATTCCACTCCCCTTTGATCTTGAAAATATAACAATGGGTTCACATACAAGGACTTTGATATATCAAAAATTCACAAAACAGTACAACAATATCGTAGCGACCTGACATTCTTTGAACCCGTTCTGCAGAATCAGAACAACTCTAGGAAATAACCACACATGGATCAGGTTCACAAGTATGATGAACAAGATAACGAGCTTAATTATGATCCTTCAATGAAACCTTATAGAAATTTGATTGACCAGCTTCGACCACGTACGGTGAAAATCAACTTCTTACAAAGTCTGAAGATGAGAATTTTATAATCTGTACGTCGATAGGACTCATTTCCCAAACCCAAAAAGGAAGAAGAAGAAGAAACAGCGATTCAAGCAACAGAAAATTAAACCGCAAAACAAGATCATCATTTACAAGTTCAAAATTTCTAAAAAGCGAAATTACGATCTATGTAATCAGCATCAAACGGACGAAAGATCATCTAAGATTCTAAACTGTAAACTTGTGTGATCACAGAGAGAGAGAGAGAGAGAGAGTTACAGGGTGTTGGCGAACTGGATATCAGCTTCGAGAGCCTTGAGTGAATCCTTGAACGATTTCCGCATATTCCTTCTCTCACAACAATTCCCATCAACAAAATAGAAACCCAAGCTGCAAATCCCTATCCCTAAAGCCCTAATCGTTCCTCCGCAACCATCACCGACTGCCGAAAACCAACACTAGACACAGAAAAAAAAAGTGCTCAAACTCTCTCAGATTTCAGTGGGAAATTTTCTCACTCCACTACTCCGAGAGAGCGAGAGAATCAAAGCTCGGATTTCGCGTAGAGCACACGTAACGCCGATACGAGAAGAAACTGGAAAAGGGACCCCTTGCCTGGGGATATTTAAAATTACGGAAAAGCCCTTGCTCTAACTTTTTAAAATTCCGTGGCTCCACCAAAACGTACGTTACGGTGACGTGACGAGTGTCAACTGCTAGGAGGAGGCCCACTCAACGTGGATGCCATTGAAAATGACACGTGTCGTTAGATCTGAGGTGGATAAATCCACCCGCTCGTTCACTACATGCACTTCCAATTAATGTAAAATCTTTTATAATTAATGATTGTAATAATAAGTATAATTATGCTGTTTAGCAAATTCAAAGGCCCAACAACAAATAAAAAAATCAAAGATGAAGATAATCAATAATAAAAATAATTCAAATTGGTTAAATATTGCGATAATGACGCTCAACAACCACTAAAACACGACACACAACAAGTTGATGAATACACACATTCAGCTTGAACCTAACCATATGAAATTCGTGTTCATGTGAAACAAGCCGACATATGAATATCGGATTCAATTCAATTAGCCACTAAATACTAAATAGATTGGTCCGTCTTAACCTACTCGACGGCTACATATGAAAATACAAATAAATTACAAAAGGACGAGCCAAAAAACATGACATAAGAGATGATCAAGACACAAGCTGCTATCAAACAAAAGTTTAAACTGCACATATGATATTTGTCGTGTTATATATATGTCCCGTGTTACACATTCAAAGTATATTCGAAAACAAACTTTATCTAGTATAGTGTTATAGTAAAAGCACAAGAAGCGACTTAAAGGGCTTTTGACGTATTACCTCAGTTGTTTTTTCACGAGATTGCGTATGAAGGGCTTGGTCAAGAAATTCTACAGCTTTGATGGTTATAAAACTAAAACCAGAAGTTGCTGAACTCGCATGGGACGGGAAATGATTTATTCATATCGTGAATAATTTATTCATGGGAATAGGAAATTTTTATTCACAAACATGGAAGGTATGAATCCATGCCGCATGTAACCCGGAAATGATATGAACAAAGACAGGGAAACACACACAGGTATGCAAGGTAATAAGCACACCTATCTTGTAATGATAACATCTAATGTACGACATTGGCAAACCAATGCACACAAACACTTGAATACATAGTGCATGAAAACGCGATTTGAAGGTGGGGGGCAAAAAAAAGAACCTTGAAAGATCAAATAATGAATCAGCCTCCCCGTTCCCGTCCTGTGTTTTTTTTATCCCTCGGCCTGCGAGAACTCGGCAGTACAAAAATATCTCAACTTTGGTTATTAATAGTAATTTTTTTTAAGGGTTTTACCATTTCATTTGCTTTCACGGATTCAGAAGGTTCTTCCACCTTCAAGAAATATGCAAATTAAGGAGTGATGCGAAAGACCTTACCCTGTTACTGTGAGTATCTGAAGATGGGCACCGTGAATGTCTGACCGGTGGTAATAGTTTGAGCTACGAGGGATGGAAATGAAAATCACGTGTGCATTAAAGACACGTGTTGTTTTTCAATTTGATTATTTGCCCTTTTTAAAAAAAAAAATCCAAATAGATGATAGTAGTAAACAAGGGCTTACTTGGGGGTGAAGGTGACAGGAAGAAGCAGGATGAGATGACAACATAACACGAGAGAAGGACAGCTCCTTTCATGTAATGAGAAGAACCCTCCTACAATAACCAGACAAGGCAGAATTGAAGAACATTCTAATGCAAAACTAAATAAGGCGTCTCCGGTTGTAAGGTGTTTTTTTTTAATAACCTGCAGAGTGAGGGAAGTGGCTACAATGGACAAAGCGAGACAAGCCGTCTCCACGAGATCGAAATTGAGGTCCATCTCAATCCCCATTCCCCAGCCGATTACCACTGATACTGGGACCTACACAAGCACCCGCATACGTATTAAAGAATACGAAACACATCCTTCACAAGCACACACATATGTATCTCATGTTGATCTGAACATCCATGTGTGCGTGAATAGGATGAATTATCATACATATATATGTTATGAGAACTTACCACGAACAAGGCGATTTGTGTTGCAGATCCCAAAGCAACTCCCAGAGTTATATCCTGCGGTTTTTTTTGGGTATAATCTTTTAGGAGCGAGGAACAACAACGTTGTATACGTTCATTACATGATATGATCATTTATTATTATTTTTTTTCAAAAATAATACCAGTTTGTTCCTGAAAGCGAAAATCACAGCTCCTGCATGCTCAGCAGCATTGCCCACAATGGGTAACAGTATGATTCCAATGAAAGCCACAGATAACCCCCAAGAATTGGCTGCATCCTGCGAGTTAACACCCCGGGGAAAAGGGAATCGATCAAACATCAATCAAATCTGTAACCCGAACCTTTTATTTAATCAAGAAAACATGATTACCTCGATCGTGCCTACGACATACTGGGAGAGTAAAGCCACGATGAATGTCATACCAAGGAGCCACCCAAGAGCACTCCAGAACCCAATCACCGCTTCTTCCATGTCCCTCACATTATCATCGTAAACATCCTCCTCCTCCTCCTCCTCCTCCTCCTCCTTACATCCTCAGTATTTCAACATTAGTTTCCAGAAAGATCAACGAGGAAGTCATAACTAATGTAATGAAGAGAACCGAAAAAGGCATGCAGTTATGTACATATAAATGCATATTTTTAGGTTTCATTGGAATGCAACCACTATAACAAACAAAGTAATTCGTAATTGGTTTCGTACGAACTTTCCACAAGAAATGAGACACAATATAACATTCTGATCAGCAAATCCACCATAATCTGATTGTCTTTCAGTCTAAATGAATATAAACTTCATGTTGGTTAATGTAAGATCCGATGCAAACTTCCTTTTTTTTCGGTTGGAATATGGTTAAGGTTAAAGTCATTTTATTTCGACATAGACTGACATAATAGAGAATCACGGGTGTTCACAAACCTCGGGAGACACAGAGTTTTGGCGGTGAGAACAGAGATGGAAGATGAGGTAGGCAAAGTAGGTGAAGAGCATTAGTAAACTGCTAACTCTGGACAACAGAAGCGGAGTGTCTTTGTTGAGCCTCCCAATGGCATCTGACCCTTCCGAAAATCTGAGCAACATTGGTAGCGTGTGGCACAACAGAGACAGATACAACAACAGAGAGTTCATGCCAGCTTCTCTCTGTTCAACATTCACCCCCATTCATATAATCAGCTCTCTGTAATTATTTAACTTAACATATACAAAAACATGAAAACAGTTTGCCGTGCCGAGGAATATAATTTCGAATGCAAGAGTTGTAACACAAAACCCAAAACATTATCTCCATCTAGATGTAAAGATTTAAGATCTAAATGCATAACTGTGAAGTATGAATCACTGACAAGGCCAAAGAAGTACAGAATGGCCTTACTACACTTGCCATGTTAGGCTTATAAAGGGATTTGTGATCTCCGATTTATGGAAGAGGATTTCAAACATTCAAGAAATCCAGAACTTAGCAACCCAACTTAACAATAATAGCATCAAAACGGATGGTTTCCAGCAGTTCTGGTCCACAAGCAACTGTCAGATCTCAACTGAAACCAGCTCTACCGAAATTGTGAACTTCAAATCATACATGCGTACCAAGAATGGATAAAAAAATTGAGAATCCAACATAGATGAGGCCTTACCCGGTCGAAATGCTGTTCTTTGTGGAGGTTGGCAAGGCCGCCACAGAGGAGGGAAGTGCCAAGTACCAGGAGGAGATTGGAGAGTATGGAACCAAGAAGTGAGAACTTCACCAGTTGGATTTTGCTTTGGCCCACAGCCAGTATCGCTATTATTAACTCCGTTGCATTCCCACACGTCGCATTCAGCAGTCCCCCGACTTCGCCCATTTTATATATAAAAAAAAATTAACAAAAATGTAGAGGAGGGAAAAAGGATATCACACTGGAATTCTGAATGCGACATATGTGCAAAACTGCAAATGGGACATCACCTGTCGGGCCAGTACGAAAAGCAATTTGCCTGTCAAACAGTCAGAGAAAGGGGGAAAGTGATGAGTTCGGGATTATATCTTTGGAAAGAGAAAAAAACACAAACAAATGGAATTAAGGCTACAGAAAGAGATCTACTCTGTGAGGAAGCTGATACGCTCAGCGAGAGGCGTCAGTCCCAACAAGCTCAGTGCAAATATCCAGGCCTGTTTCAAAGAACCCTTTTCAAATTCCAAGTCTTTTCGCTTTTCACATTTCCAGTTTCTTAGATTAGCGTTTCAATGTTAGCCAATATCCAAGCTCCAACAACCTTTTCAGCATATAATCTACGCTTCTGTAGCATACGTCAGAAGCGAACGCCGTCCAGAAACTGCGGTTTTTTTCTTCTAAGTCAGAATTCGAAATTCGTTATCTGATTATTCAAACCTGTAAACTCCCATTCAGGGGCAAAAATTTGAAATTCAAGTAGAGTAACATATCCTTTTGTCAGCATCTTCTTTGAAACTGATCACGATTTGCATTTGAACAGAACAAAAGAAGAAACACATAGAAGATGTCTCTGACATTGAAGAAGGAAACAACCACAAATCACTTACTCGAGGAAATCCGTACTGGCGAGCGAGGACGGCGAGAGGAACGGCAGGGAAGAGGAGACAGAGCCTCGTGCCGAGAAGAACCTCTTGTAGGTTACCCAGAAACCTCCTTACCGAAGCGCATGGGACTCGCGAGATCAGCTTCAGATCCGATCTCTTCCTCAACGAGGACGACGACAGATTGTGCGCCGAACGGCCGTGTCTCGATATCGCCGCCGTATCCTTCCTCCGTCTCCCTACGCCGTCTCCGCCGCAGTTGCAGCATCCACCGCCGTTCTCTAGAAGATTTAGATTCGCCGGCGATTCCGTACTGATGGAAGCCATCTCTTCTACTGCGTAGGGGAGAAAAAAAGAAGTCGTTGAAATTTGAATTTATACATACACGTACATATACGGACGCAACAGGGTACGAACGTACAAATACATACACACGTGTGACGTAGGATGCGAACGTGTCACTTATATGTGGATGTAATATTGCAACGTTAAATCTATTTAATCTTAGTTTTAATTGAGCATCCCACTCACTGATGCATATAATTTGCAGTTACATGGGATATAAAAGGCAAATTTCCACATAAAATAAGAAGTAGCCGATTATATTTATTTACAAGGAAAATAAATTCATCACAAGGTGTAAGAAATATATATACATATATATATATATATAAAGAAAGAGGCAAGTACCTCGAGCAAAGACTTTTTCCTTTCAGGAAAAAAAAAAAGATTTCCATTTGAATTTGGTGGATGTATTGTTTAGTCGTCACGTTATTATCCAAAGGGAAATTGCGTTAGAAGTGTATATGATACGGAATTTAGAATATAAGAAAGGATGGTGGTCCGTATGCATTTGTTTTTGTTATGCACGAAATCCCCGAGAGGGTTCCGAGAAGATTTGTTGTCGCTTTCATTAGGTAACCAACGCAACAGGAACAACAACAATTGCCTCTGTTGTTTATTTACAGAATCACATAACTTGTAGAATCAACGGATCTATCCATCGTAACAAACTGGCGGATACTGACATGGTTTTTGGTCCAGCTGCCTAAGATTGTAGTTGAGTTTTCTCTGAATAATTTACTATTGCATTAACATTTTAAATTATAATTAATTTTGATAAAATATATTAATTTTTTATGTATTTATACAAGATAGAAATGTAATCGAATGTGTAGATAATTCAGATTTTTTACAGGATGTTTTAATAAAATTTATAATTTTTTGAACTTTTTTAAAAATATTAGATTTTGAAAAATTATTTAAGCACATAGGAAATTCGTTAACAGTTTATCACAATGAAACTCTGTCTTACAAGCAAATAATTTTATAAAAGTCAAATATCTTATGTGACCGAAACAGAAGTCTAACTCAACCGTCTTTAAAAATAAAAATAAAAAGTCTCGAATCCTATATATATATAAAAAAAAGTAATAGAAACGAAAATAAAAAATTATAAATGAAAGAACCTAAGCCCATTGTAATAGATGAGGGGGAGGGGGTGAACTGCATGCCTGCTTGATGGTTGGAAAAAGCCATCCAACAAATAAAAACATGAATCAGACGTGTTTTTAGCCTGAAACATGCTTATGTTACAGTACATGTGGTCAAATCAAGAGCACACACTCTTTGACTTTCTGCCCGAACGGCCATTCCCACAGGTAGCGGACCTAGGAAAAAATTTGATTGAGGGTAAAGTTAATTTTAACATGTGAAAAACTTAATTTCTCATGGGGTCATTTATAAAATTTGGTTAAAACATGATGAATTTTATGAATAAATTATTATCATTTTTAATCAAACAAATGGGGGCTCACATGCATGCATCATACATACTTATGGGCTTTGTTTTCAAACTGTTCATTCAATTTCAATTTGTTTTGTACCCTAAACTTCTACAAGTGAAAAACTGAAACCGAAACCCGGAAAGGAAAAACGAGGGCAGAAAACTCGCCAAGGAAGGGAATGCCAACGTTTATCTGAATGTCATGTTCAATGAAATCCCCACGTTCTCTACTCAAAACCCTAAAAAAATTGTCATTCTTTCTCGTTTCCCCAAGTCTTGATATCGAAAGCACGTAGGTTAACTTACCTCTCATTCTCTTCAGAGACTAGATGCTTCCTTTCTCCCCGGCCTGATGCTATAAACACGTGATCCGAGATGTGTTACTTCAAGGCCCGCTTCCTCACAGCCAGTAAAGAAGAGAGACTCGTCGTCTTTTCCAATCCTACGTCTCCAACTCATTAGGAACACTGGCCAACACAATCCCGTATCTGTTCCTACAGCCACTAGTAATATAAGAGTGTGCTTTGCTTATAAATTCCATTAATTTTGGACAAACCACAAAGATTTGAAAATGCCACCGACCATTTTGTTCACCCTCTGTTGGATTAACCACATTCTTGTCTTTTGGTTTGTAGGATTTGAGAAGAAAAGAAAGAGACTTTATCAAGTTGGAGTACTGCTTCACATCTGCAAGTAGGGAGGCAAAACAAGCGAGAAAGTAAAACATACAAAAAAAAAAAAAGACAAGAAGTTGAACTATAGGATCAAGGCAAAGATCTTACATAGCAGGATATCACTGGCTATGATCAAATCCCAATCTGGTTCAGCAACGGGAAAGGTGTCTCCCCATGTATCTGTCACAGAGACAAAAACACATTATCCATTTTCATGGGCCGGTGATTAATACGACTAGATGAACAAAGCAGAAAATTTGACAACGATCACCGCGATTGAGGACAAAGAATTTTATTAGCCAGCCTAATCCCAGAGAAGAACGAGATTTAACACGAGTTCTAGAGAAACTCACGCCTGATATGGGGAAGAGCAGGCACTACGCCATTAGCTATGCAGTTATGAGCTATATTCTCTTCAATTTCTTGATCATCGTAATCTGAGGTCGTTATGTCAATGTCGGATACCTTTTTAAGAAAAATAGCTAAAGCTCCTGTGCCACTGCAAAATGAACAAGACAAAAACCTGGTAATTGCTGAAAACATTTACTCCACAACAATGTTTAGCAGGACTGGCATGAATAACACGTCTTCGGGTTTTTGCAAAATATGAAAGCAAATCCACGTAGAACCCCAAAAGCGAATCAAAAGGAAGATGAAGTACCTTCCTATTTCTAGACAACGACGCCTTTGGATGGATGCCCTATGCTGCATTAACCATTCTGCAAAGGCAAAAGTACCTGGCCAGAGCAAGTTGGCATTCAGCTGGTGGAAAGCAAATTCCCGGATAAGCAATTCCTGCCCAATTTTCAAACCATTCGTGCACAGGAATCAAAACCAGCTAAAGACCACATAAGAATCCTTACTACAACATTTATAAAAAAAAAAAAAAAAGAATCCTTACTACAACACTTGAAACCAATCAAATTCGAAAACCGCTATATTTACTAACAAGTACTTTGAACAATAGGAATAGCATGGAAGCAGTTAAGCATCTTTTTCAGGAAAGATAAGTGTAGATCGTATTCAAAGATTGTCAAACTATTATCACAACGATTTCACCGAAGCGAGGGAACAGAATTCCAAGGCTAAATCCCCAGAAGCTGAGGCTCCAAATCAAAGTGAGAAGTAAACAAAATCTAGCATCCAAGAGCCACAGATCAGAGAGAAATTGGGAGCGAAGCCTTACGATTCCGGGAAACTGATGGGTCCTCTCCACGAAGCTCTGACTCGTCTCCGTCGTCTCTTCATCTGAGAAGAGGAAAATAACTCCGATTACAGGCTCTATCGAATTAGAAAAGAGAGGAAAAGGCGACGGAGATGATACCGACCGGAGGAATCGCCGTCGGCGGCGAAGAGAGAGGACGGCGAGAAGAGAGCTATGTCCATTCGCGACTACGTACTCCAACTGCGATGGTCGCGGCTTTCCCCGTCTCATTTGCCTGAAGGCTTTATGACAGGACGAACCCTCTGCTTACGCCAGAGGCTCTCATCTGACCATTCTCTTCAGAACAAGAAGAAAATACAATTTGCATGTATATCCAATAACAAGCGAAACCAAAGACAAAACGAATACGGTTTCAATGCATCATAACAAGGCTCGCAAATTCGCTAATCAAAATGGTTACAGCGCAATTGAAATTAATACAATAAGCTCGACACCATGAATTGTCTCACATGGAAACGTACAAATGGAAGGAAGAAGCTCACCCAAAACATAGTTTGATCATTCATTCGTAATCAAACAAACAATACATACAGAAGAGGTAAAAAAAAAAACAGATCATAATAATACAGAAAGCAGAAGTAAAAAAAAAAAAAAACTCAGCAGAGAAGCTTTTGGAAGTGTGCTGTTCCTAACGGACCAAACCCCGAACTCTCATCCCCCATCCAATGTCTCGTCCCCGTCTAGAGGCATACCATAATAAACATGAAAACTAAGGCCACATTCAGATCCTGAGTTTCCAGACACTTCAATATTATATCATTCAAAGACAGCGAAATACTTATGGACAGCAGCACCCCTCAGTGGCATGTGGCCGATTTCCGGGTAGACAGCATCAGCCAGAAACAAGATTTACATTAGGAGGAAAGCTGGAATCGGCCGCTTGGTTTTTTTCTTCTCCATCCCTGTCAAAACCATAAGCATTCTCCCTAGTCATGGTTATGCAAAAGAGGGAAAAAAAAACACGTGACATGGGAAGAAACCTCAAACGTAAAAAGAGACAGGCGGAGAGGACTTACAAAGGCGAGGTAATATATAAAGGACAGTCCCGCCAGAACAACAAACCCAATTTGGAAGACATTGTACCTGAGGAAAACACCAATAGCATACATGAGACATACATGAATATTGGACTTGGCGAGAAGACATACATGAATATACTCTTAACCCAACATTACTTACTTGTAGAGGTACTTAATTCCACGAAGGGACTGCAAAGTGTGGCCAAAGATTTCCTGGGCAGCAGTGGCTTGGGCATAGTATCCAAATGCAGTCGCACAGAATTGAATCACACTAGAATTTCCATGGCCCACAAGAACCAATCATGAGAAACTTAAGATTACGACAAACCTTTTATCTCCAACTACTTATGGATGAGCAGCGGGATAACCGAAGTTATTTTTCTGTGTGCCACAGAGATAAACGAACGGCGTGCAATGAAAATCTAAGCTCCTAATCAGGCTCACGCCAGCTTGACAAATTGAATTCAGTGATGGTTAGACAACAGTGAACACTGTTCACATAACAGTAAGCACATATCTGTTCATTTCGTTTGATTTTTATTACCACAAGATCTAATTGAACCCGCTAAGTCATTTTGAATTAGATTAAACACATGAAATCCTAGTTGAGGCTTGAGAGAAACGGCAAGTGAACAAAAAGAACACGAGTTTGAAGAAATTTACCTGATAGAACAAAGAAGAATCAGACCAACATTGAAGAGGAAAGAGTTCATCAGAGTAGCTCCCCACCTGAAAAAGAGAAACTACGTGAACGAGAAACCAAAGAAAAGTGAAAGATCGCATAAATAAGCCTAAAACTGTAAAACCATAAGAAAAATTACTTCATTGGATGAATGGTAATGAAAACCAGCTTCAGACCAAGCATCATTGCCCCAGCAATAACAGCAAGCAGAAGGTAGAAACAGAAGAAAGCAAATGCAGCAGTACCTAGAAGACCTGATGAAGATGATAAAATTTCACATACATAATATATGGTCAGCTCAGGGAAAAGAGAAACAAAAAGAAAAGAATAAAATGTAGCAGTAAGTTACCCCAGACATCATCCAGCTTGATGAAAACTTCATTAAGAAAAGGAGAGAGAGGAGGGTCAATAAGTAGATATATGATGATGTGCGCAACCCAGGCCACAGAAACAATCAACCTGCAACAACATACCGCAAGTTGAAAGAAACTTAATCCACTATACAATACACTTAGAAAAGAAGACTACAAGCAACTAAAGTACCAACCCTAAGACTCCAAGGACAAATTTGGCCAAGTATCCAAGGACAGTGAAAGCCCAAGCAGTTTCCGCCTGAAAAGCCAAGACAAGAGAACCGTTAAGTCACCATGAAATTAAGAAAGAGTAAGCACTTAGATAGAGTTATCTTACCTTTTCACCTTGAGGATACATTTCTTCTAAGAGATTCACATCTTCTTCCAACTGGAGCAATTCCTGCAAAGTACAGAAAAGGCAAAAAATCAACTGCAGTAAGAGATAGAGGGAAGTAAAGAAACCAATAAATCCACCATCTGGCATGCCCAACCCGAAAGTTTAGCTAAGTCTTCACTAACTATAAAAGAACTATCTGTAATAGGACTTGCTTCAATGCTTCTACTCAATTTTAGAGGAACAAAGACAGACAGAAGGCAATATGAAATGGAACCAGGAATTATCATCCCACTAAATACACTTACAACCAAGATTTCTGTCAGCAGCTAAATCGCCAAATTTCTAGACATGGAGCAAATTTCAGATATTGATTTGAAGCTTCAGATATATGGTCTACCTTTTCTACAGCTTTCACGTTTTTCCTCCACTTCCTACCCTTAGCACCACTTCTTTCTTCCTGATGAAGCGCATCAGCCGCTTTCTTTAATTCTCTTGCCTTTTTACCTAGCTCAGTTGCTTCCTGGAAAATTTAACCAAATTGATACCCAAGGAAGAATATGAATATCCATGAACAAAAGATGCTTCACATGGAGACAACAGGAACCCATGAAATCGAACCTTTATATACTGTGACCTAGTAATAACAGCCTTCGGTCGCCTGATGAATGAAGCAATAAGTCCCAACGGTAGACAAGCAATACCAACACCACCAAATATCTACAAACAATTGAGAGAAGAGACTGACATGAGAAAGTTTAGAAGCATTAAAACAAATTACAACTGCTTCGCTTAAGTCTCACACTAAAAGGAAACCAAAGTAAATATTTGACATGCATCATACATTTTTTAAAACTTCCAATATCATTCACGAACCAAGAAAATAGGGAGAGAACACATGCTTTCCAGGGTAATGAATTCACTTCTCAACATTAGAGAAACTTCTAGCAGGGCATCCATACCGTGAAAAGCACTGACCCGACAATCGTAGCAAGAGCAACAACATATTCTGGAAAGGTAGTACGCATAGTCCACGTCTTCTCGGATGAGGCACTGGCTGTATATGCTGAGCACTGCAATAATTAAGCAAAGGAAAGAACGGAAATATATTCCACACCGAATCTTATCAGCCACCGAAAGAAATAAGTAAACCCACGATAAAATTAGTAACAAGAAAGCGGCCGAGAAGAAATCTCACCTGACGAGCAGTGTTGCCAATACAAGGTTGATTACTCGAAAATTGCCATGTAGTTGGGAAGGAAGTTGTAGCAGAAGACAAGTGTCTGACAGAGAAGTCCACCTTCCCAATGATTCCTACAACAAAGTAGAAGGGCATCAGAAATAGAGAACCAAGGAAAACAAAACCGAGCAAACGTGAAATTCTCTTAGCGAATTCAGAGATTAGGAGGATCAATAAATTTCGGTAGGTAAGACTGATATGTTACCTATAAGTATTCAATTTAACTAGTCCATGGCCATGTATATGCGATGAGCACATAGATAATTTAACATGCCCAGATCAGAGAAGACTATTCTACAATACCAACAGTTAAATCGAATAAAAACAGACAAGTAACTAAGAAATGCATCCCAATTCCCAAAATCCCCAAATGAAATGTAGATACAACGAAAATACATAATAACCCAGTGTCACTTACCAATACCTGTTTCAATTATTTGTCCAACTAATCCTATATAGCATCTCAGTAAACTCCGTCAGACCAGGAAGACTAGAAGTTCAAATCAACAAGAAGATGAAAACGAGAACTAAACTAACCGTATAGAATCCCAAGCACCAGAGCACAGACGATAGCTGTGGCTACCACCCACAATAAAGCACTCTTTATCCTCTTTCCCACACTCCTGCAGCGCAGAAAACATCCGCGACATTCCGTTATCAACTCTAAATCCATAGCCTTGTATACACAAGGAAAATATAAAATATGCATACAAACAAACATATATAACTAATGTCATAGATATACAAACTTGTCCTGATCGCCTTCGTAGAAGAACATGGAGAACGGGATGATGAAGAACACGAGTACCGCATCCACAATGTAGATAGCAAGCCACAGATCTTTCATCGGCAAGGTGAGATTGCAAGCACCGTTGTAAATCGCATGCCGACACGCGTGCCGGTTAGCGACATCGGCGGGTAACATGAGGATTGAGATCATGGCAATGGACAAACCAAAAACAACGACAAACTTGGGAAAATAAGCCTGGTTCGCATCATCTGGATGCTGGTAGTTGACGAGAAGGTAGATGCTGGAGATGAAGACCAGGACGCATACAACGATCGCGACGATCACGAGAGCGAGATTGAAATCGCCCATCGTGCAATGTACGAGGCCCCGAGCTCTCGAACCCCGATCAGAACGAAGGATTGGGTAACCAGATTCGAAACTAGGGCTTCTCGATTCCTAATTTGAAATTGAATTTGGGGATTTTGTAGATCTGGCTTTTATTTTTTCCCTTACGAGAAGCAGACGGGGAGAGGGGAAGGGAAACTGGGCTTGGTGAGGGTCGAGTTTTGCATTTTGAAGAATGGTATTCATAAATTACACTAAAGCCCTCACCTATGTGTTGTATTTACGGGAAATGGCATTTTTTATGCCAGATGGCATTGGGCTTAATTGTCAATTAACGAGTAAGCTCCAAGAACAGCCTGTCCAAAGGCTATTATTTTCAACTGATTACGTCTCAACTTGAATTTAAAAATATCGTTTACCATTTCCAATTCCTTTCGCCGCCTGTTTTCCATCTACCGTTCCAGGTGATGATGGATGAAGAAAGAGAAGAAGACGACCCGTCGTTCACAATTCTCTTTTCGATCGATTCTGAAGCATAACCCCAGATCTAGGGTTAGGGTTTTGAATTCTACAATCGACTTCACCCCTTGATCGTTCGTTCGGAATGTCGCAACCGGATTCGTTCTCCTCTCCTTCTTCTCCGCCTGTGATTCGCGAAGAAGGAGGGTTTCAAAGATTCGACCATGGCCGCGATCACGGTTTCGATCGAGATCGACCACCCTGGAACCGCGATCGCCGTCATGATAGCTTCGCTCACCGTCATGGAAGCGTTGCAACGTCGGATAACGCGGGGGATTCGACTACAGATGATCCCTGGTCTTGTGTTGTCGTGGTCGTGACCTTCTACGTCTTCGGTGAGAAGATGGTGCTATGGACTTTTGGATTCTGCTCTGTTCTCTCCGTGTATGTTTGACTGATGATTTGTGTTGTTGCAAACTGTTCAGTGTCGATGACTTTGATAATGGGGTTATACGGGACAACGACCGTATGGCTCGGACCCAACTCCTCTTTCCTAGTACAGCCAACTTCTGTTTTCGTACAAAGCGTGATAGTATGTTATCTCCTCTTTTACTCTGAATGCAACTACTTACTACTGTTTCTGGACATGGCGGTCTGAAATTTGTTAAATTTGTCAAGGTGGAACAATTAGACAAGAGACCTGGAATGCTGCTGTATGGTTTGGATAAGACCCCAGAGCTTGATGTTTTGATTAATTGGTCTGAAGTCCACTATTTAGCTGTTCCATATGATTCTTACAAGGCAAGTTCTCCTGGGCATCGTTTCTTTTCTTTGGCTATGGATCAAGAAAATGACTCGTTCATTTTCTCTTTTGCTTCTTCAGTATTGGATACAGTATCTGAATAAGGGCTCACAGATAAAAGTTTCATACAATGTTGAATCCCCAGGTTCTTCCCTCTATCTCGTAATAGCCGAAGGTATGCTGCTGGATGACCCCTTTTCTAGTCAATCGTTTCTGGCCTTGTGCATTTGGTTTTTCTTCAATAAAACAGTATTGTGGTGGATTCCTCAGTGTGATGAGGCTTTGGCACCTGTAACGCTGATAGATAATCCGATGGTTTTTGAATTTTTAATGGCCTTATAATGTAGAAGTTCTGTGCACAATGTCTCTGCGCAACCAGATTTTAAACGTATCAAATCAAATCGAATCATTTTTTTTCTGATCAAGTTTTGACTGTGTTTGTGCTGTTGACTTTAACACTTTCATTTCTAAAGTTGCATTGTATCATTGAGTAGGTCTGCTTTGTTATGTGCATAATTTCAGGGACAGAAGGGCTCTCTGAGTGGGTACAAGATCCTACACGTCCTGACAAAACATTATCGTGGAATCTAATTTATGGTAAGTGAGATGAAGTTATGTAACAGTGAATGAGGTTTTATATGATAGCAAGTTTACCTACAATTTCTTGACAGGCAGTGGTGTGATTCAGCAGGACATAACTAAGTCATCGAGCTATTACATTGCAGTGGGCAATGTATACCTGAACGAAGTGAAGGTAAAAAGTTGAAGAGTTTTATGGTGACATATGGCATTTGCTCCTAGAAACTTTGGCTTTCTTTAGAGATTAAGCACCTAAGCAACCAGTTGTTTCCTGCACCATTTATAATTCTCTTATAGTGCATAGTTACTCCAGAAAAGCTTTAGCAGTTCATCAGATGATCTTATCATGATTCTCTGTGTCAATGTTTTTTCCCCTCATTGTTTGACTGTGACATTTACTCAGTTTTATATCTGTTGTGCAGGCTACATTAGACTTTCACCTTGACGCTGTATTGTACAATACTACTGAAGCTTACTATAACTGCAATTTCCCTAATGCAAAATGCAGTTTTAATGTTCCATTTTTTGGAGCAAATGCTGCTGTACTAACCTCACCAGGTCCACAGCAGGTATATATAAGCCCATTTCTCTTTTATTGCTAACCAACAGTGAATATATTTCACCTTAACCACATGGTTCTTGGTAATGTTTCTGGATTTATACTGATGTAACTGTCTTTTCTCTTCAGAACATTTCGAAGAACGAGTTCTGTGTAAAAGTGTCATATGAACCAAGATGGCTAGCATACATCGTTTGCATTGGTAATGCATATCCATATCCGCTCCCTGTTTATGGAAAAAACCGTCTAACTATTCTGGAACTTGTCACCTAACTTTTCAGACACCCGAAAAGTTACTTGTTCTTTCTCTATTCAAAGTACTTAACGTATTGTGGGACTTTGCTTTTAACTTGGCTTGTTATAGGTGGAGTGACTGCACTCTTGGTAGTACTCTACAGCATATTTAAGAAGCCACAATCAAACACTGAAGCTGAAGCAACTGCTCAGAATGGAGAAACGGCTCCTCTAGTGCCAGGAAAAGATGATGATGTATCGAGCTGGTGCTCATCCTACAGTTCTATCATGACAAGTACCGAAGAGATTGAAGGGCACGAGGGTGAAAACAACAGTGGCACCCGATACCTCTGTGCGATATGTTTTGACGCTCCCAGAGACTGCTTCTTCCTCTCTTGTGGTCATTCTGTCGCTTGCTTCCAATGTGGGACTCGGTAAATTAAACATTCTCAATCTACTCATTGGTAATCTTGATGATCCAAGAAGTCTTACTGAAAGGGAAAAAAAAACTGTTACGCTGTCTGATTAATTAGGGAGAAATTGTTGTTGTTGCCCTTTTAACCAGATGCGTATGTGAAGACTGTGTTCAAGGGTTGTCTAATATGTGTGGTTCTTGGATTTGTATACACGCAGGATAGCGGAAGCATCTGGTAATTGCCCCGTCTGCCGCAAGAAGATTAGGAAGGTAAAGAAGATTTTTAACGCCTAGAAAGAAAGAAAAAAAAGAAACTTCAAAAAAATGCAGATTTTGCTACATTTCCACATTTGTAAATTGCCCATTATTTTACATAAACTTTGTTACGCAGCACAATGTTAGAGATCAACGTGTATTCGGTCCGAGTTTCGTTTGGTGTACCATCAATATATATTTTTTAGGGGATTTTTGAGATGGTGTTTCTTAATGTCAACTTGAACCCATGATCAGTGAGCCCCTCTTCGCCACTAATTACGACCGTTGTCCGCGTCGGGGTGGCTCGGTGTGCGTTATCTGACACGTGTCAACATCCAGTTGTTTAGTTTCAGTGCACCGTGGCACACCTGATCCTCCCTCCCATATGTTTTCCTTTTCTCTGGTAAAGTAGGCCATCCGTCCTTTCTAGCCGTTGCAGTTGTCATCATTTCTCTCTCTGTTCCTCCCATCTCTCTCTCCCACAACACTCGCATCGGATTGCGATCGTTAGAAAACTCCGAGGCGGAGATGAAGTCGACGAAGACGAGGTTTGCGAAGAAGTTGAGGTCGATCAAAGCTGGCGATTACCTGAAGCAGGATCGGATTCTGCAGGCGCTCTCAGCCGCCGATGGGTTAGTAGAGCTCCTCCCTAAGATCTCCAACCCCATTCCCCATCTATCAATCGAATCGATCCGCAAAATACCATGGAAGCTTGAAGATCGAACTATCGACGTATCGAATGTTCACGGAGAGGAAGAAGCTAATGGGAGTTTCGTCGGCGACAAAGAGAATGTCAGGCCTCTGGTGAACCAAAGTAGGCGGGTTTCGGTAGATCGCAGAGAAGTTAAAGCCGACATTTCATCCAGATCTTCTGACACGGGTACTTGTAGAACAGGCTCCGGATACGAGTTTAGGAGACCCGATTTGGATTCGAGCAGCCTTTTCGATCCCAAGCTCCTCGAAGCATTCGAAAGAGCTGTAGGATATTACAGGAGACTAAGCGAGAGGACCAGGGAATCGAGATTTGAGGGAGAAGATGACGGCATTACCTTCCCGGATATAAGCGAGAGCGAGGGAAGAGCTGAGGCCAGGCGAAAATGCTCTGGAAATGACGGCAAAAACCTTCCGGTAACCACCGACGACCTAATACAGACTGGATTTGGAGAACCGGGCCAAAGAAATGACGACCGTATAACCCTTCCGGCAACGATACGCGACGGTGAGAGTCAAGCTGGAGCCGGGGAAAAAGACGATAGTACTCTCTCCGGAGAAGGACGAGCCGAAGCAGAGGTAAAAGACGACAATAACCTCCGCAACTCTGTCCGAATTGACGCGACAGAAGAGGAAGCGGACATCCCATTTGACGATAGTGCTCTTCCGGAGATAATAAGCGAGGTCGAGAGTCGAGCCGGAGAAGAGGAGGAAGAAGAAGACGGCGGAGGAAAAGACGGTAATGCCCTTGCGGAACCGTTGCTGGGATTCGAGGCACGGTGTCCTCCGGGAGGAGAAAACTCCGTCGTCCTCTACACCACCACGCTCCGAGGAATCAGAAACACGTTCGACGACTGCAACAAGGTCCGGTTTCTGCTCGACAGCTTCAGGGTCTCGTATTACGAGAGAGACGTCTCGATGCACCGGGAATACAGGGAGGATCTACGGCGGATCATGGCGGCGGAGACGGCGACGGAGCTTCCGGTGCTGTTCGTGAAGGGAGAGTGCGTCGGCGGAGCCCACCGGGTGCTGGGCTTGCACGAGCAGGGGAAGCTGAGGGCTCTGTTCGACGGCGTCCCTGCCGCCGGAGCCGGACGTTGCCGGCGATGCGACGGAGTGAGGTTTTTGATGTGTGATGGCTGCAGAGGAAGCCGTAAGATTGTTGGTGATGATGGGAAGAGGGTGGAGTGCTCCATCTGCAACGAGAATGGGTTGATCGTATGCCCTTCTTGCTCATAAGATTCATTGATGGGTTTTTTATTTGTTCTTTCCAATATTGTGACGAAATTCTTTTGGAGCCCAATCCCAATCCTATGTATTTTTCGTATGCAAATTTTTCAAGATACACATTTTACAATATGATTCCATTAACATAAGAGATCGCAAAAAGGTTGGAAAATGGATCGATTGAGATTATGTAAATAGGCCCATATGGAGTGATTCTTTTGGGCCCATTTTAAAGTTTACCACTAATTGGATCGAGTTTGATTATGAAATGGATTCCTATCAATAAGCTGCAACTACAACTAGTTAATACTAGACAAGGCCCAATTCAGACAAAAACAGTTGCCAATGAATAACTAGGCCTTATATAGTCACAAACCCAACTTAATTGAGTGCTCCAACTCTTAATTTTAATTTCATAAATAATCAAATTTAGAAAATATAGAAAATGTTTCCAAATTTTTTTATTTATTATTGCTAACAAAAAAACAAATTTTATTTATTATTGATAAAATTTTGTGGATATTTCAACGGGTGAGTGACAAAAAAAGACCTTAACATGTGAACATATAATGGTGCCGCGTTTTAGAACTCTTTGACACACATACGTGTATATATATAAAATTGTATATTGTATCTCTTTTGTTTTTATTGGGCCGCCGGTCGTGATTGCAGACAAAAGAATAGCTTTTCTTCTAATATCAGCCGCCTATTAAATATCAAAATATATTAAAAAAAGGAAAATCTAATTTTATAAAATGAAGGAATCGAGTGGCTGAGTCCAACTCGTGTGCGTGGCTTGCTCACGGGTTGGGAAAATTTTAGATATTTCTCATTTTATTTTCCTTGATAGGGATATATTTTTATTCTACTTTAGTCCTTTTATCACTAAAATATCCATTTTTCTCGGAATTTGTCTACACGCTGCTTACAAAAAATAAATTGGGTTTTCCAAAACGTTGCATAGTGGTAATTGAATGCACCATGTTAAAATCACAATTTAACAGTGTATATATAATTGTCCATGAATCAAACAATACAACCATTTCATCTTCTCTTGGTGCGACCGTGGATTCTCAATGGTTCACTTTTTTTTTGTGTGGTCAGGAGAAATCAAGTGGTCTCACGTTGTCTTCAACGTCATCAAAATACTATGGGATTTTTATGTAAACGTCACAATTTACAATTAATTAATTGTATAATCAAATAACATATAACCCAAACAGACATCGTTAGTGTTTGAATGTAACATGTAATTTAATGTGGACCGACGATTCATAAGCGCCCATTTTTTGCCACTGAAATCGCGAAATAATAACTACACACACACATATATATATATATAGAGGCCATCCTCTTACACCGCCACAACTACTCGCTATAAAGAGCATTTCGCAGATAAACGAGGACTGGTCAGAAATCGCTCCTCCAATCTCTCTCCGACCTCTCTGAGTGCAACGATGGAAGGAACCGGCGTCGTGGCGGTGTACGGAAACGGTGCGATTACGGAGGCGAAGAAGTCGCCGTTCTCCGTGAAGGTAGGTCTAGCTCAGATGCTCCGAGGCGGTGTAATCATGGACGTCGTCACTCCCGAGCAGGCTCGCATCGCCGAGGAAGCCGGCGCCTGCGCTGTCATGGCGCTCGAGCGCGTCCCGGCGGACATACGCGCGCAAGGCGGTGTCGCTCGCATGAGCGATCCTCAGCTCATCAAGGAGATCAAGCAGGCCGTTACGATTCCCGTCATGGCCAAGGCTCGAATCGGCCATTTCGTCGAGGCTCAGATCCTCGAGGCCATTGGGATCGATTACGTCGACGAGAGCGAGGTCCTGACACTGGCCGATGAGGATAACCACATCAACAAGCACAATTTCCGGATCCCTTTCGTATGCGGTTGCCGGAATCTGGGCGAGGCCCTGAGGAGGATCCGCGAAGGCGCCGCCATGATTAGGACCAAGGGCGAGGCGGGGACAGGGAACATCGTGGAGGCGGTGAGGCATGTGAGGTCCGTGATGGGGGACATTAGGGTTTTGCGCAACATGGATGACGACGAGGTGTTCACATTCGCCAAGAAGATGGCCGCTCCGTACGACCTGGTGATGCAGGTCAAGCAGCTCGCCCGTCTCCCCGTCGTGCAGTTCGCCGCCGGCGGTGTGGCCACTCCGGCCGACGCGGCGCTAATGATGCAGCTGGGTTGCGACGGAGTATTCGTGGGGTCGGGTATATTCAAGAGCGGAGACCCGGCCCGTCGAGCCCGGGCCATCGTGCAGGCGGTGACGCACTACAGCGACCCGGAGATGTTGGCGGAGGTGAGCTGTGGGCTTGGAGAAGCCATGGTTGGGATCAATCTGAACGACGACAAGGTGGAGAGGTTCGCGAAGCGCTCCGAATGAGATGGTTCGAGTGTTTGCTTGTAGTTTGAAACGAATCCTGAATTTGATATGTGGCATTGTCTAGAAATGATAATAACGAGTCGTTGATCAGACAGTACAGATTTTCTCCAGTATTCCTGTTCTTGGGTGTCCTTGTTTCCTTGGATGTCATGTTCTTGTCCTGTGATCGATGAGAAAACAACAAAGGGATGATGAAGAAGAAAGACACTCTGTGTCAATCAGGATTCGACAATTCAATTGTTCCGTCCCCAGAATCAAGTTTCTCTAAATCTTTTTTTTTTCTGGGTTCTTCTATCGCACTGTGGATATCGGATTCGGTTCGATCGTACATAACATCCCCCCATGTCTTTCATCGTACCACCGAGCATCCGACCACTTCTTCCCTCTCCTGCCTCCCGGAGGGCATATTCGTCATTCAATTTAAGTACATCCATGGCCCCCATTTAACAGCGTTATCGGCCCATCACCAGTATCATCCGACACGTCCAACCATCCTCTCGCACGTGCCTTATCTCATCCTTTTATATCGTGTTTTAGTGAAACATGCCAAATTCTCTTTACTACTATTCTTCACAGATAATTTTATTGATAACACTATGTTAGATTACTCGAATATGGGTTATCTATTATAGGGAACTTAATGAGTTAAAATCGTACTAGTATCAATTATTGACCATCCCCCTTAATAATTTGGACTTTTATGAATGTTTTATAAATTGATGGTGCTAAACGAAAGATTGCGGAAAATTTAGGTCCTGTAAAGTACAACTGCCTTCCGTAGAAAATTCTACCTTCATACGTCGTCGTTTGCATACTGTAGTGTGTCTGGCTGGAGATTTAACAGAGTCTGAAAGAAAAACAAGAACGACAGCATTTGGAAATTCGATTTCATACAAAGTTAAAATCACCGTCGCCCTCTCTAAACCCTACACCACCGAAGGGATGCGAATACATTCTTCATGTTACCATTGAATCTCTGCACTCTAGGGTTTTGTATTTGATTGCTATGCCAATAATGGTCGGTATCATGACTTCGAATTCGGGAGAAAGGCTCGACGGTCTTGCGAATTCGGCCAAATTGGCCACGGAATTGCCTCCAAAGCTGGACCGGTTGCGCCAGCTGCGCCGGTATTTGCAAGAAGATTCGACCATTTTCTCCTCCGAGTTGCTTCCTCTCCTCTTCGATCTTCTCTCCGACCGCTTCGGTGCTGTCCGCAAGATTGTCGCCGAGTAAGCTCTGTCGACGTAACCTTGTTCCGATCTCTTTATTCGGGAGACCTCGATGTTGTAACTCTGCTGGGTGTCGGTTTTGTTTGTAACTGAACGTACACAATCAGTTTCCGGGATTTTGACGACCACTATGGGTGAATGCTGGTTTTGGGTCTTTATTACACGCATTTTCTCGCCTCCGTTTGTCTAATTCTCGCTCTTGTAGCTGTTTTATATTAGTCAGGTTGTGATGATAAGTGATTGGTTAGTGTTATTCATGCTTGCCTTAGGATTCTCTATATGATTTGGTCTTTGGGCGTCTGTGAAACTCTCTTAAGCTCCGGTTCAGTTTCCTTTTTGTTTCATCCACAGGATTCTTGGAGAAATCGGCTTGAAACATCTTGACTATTTGCCTGAAATAGTGCCTGTTTTCATTGAGGCTCTCAAAGATGAGACACCGGCTGTGGCCAGACAGGTCATTGCTTGTGGAGCGAATTTATTCCGTTCGACCCTTGAAAGCGTGGCTGTTCAGGTTGTCGTTTGTTCTGTTTGTGTAGCTCTGAACCTTGTTTACGTTCAGCTTTTTTTACCCTACTCTCCCCAGTGCACGATTCCTTTCTCAGGTGGTGCATTTATAGCTAGCATTTGGTTTTATCTTTTCTGTTCCAGGGTCTGCATTCTAGCGAGTTGAATGAGCTCCTTGAATCTTCGTGGGCATGGATGTTAAAGTTCAAGGATGAAATATGCTCACTGGCTTTCGAGGTGAGAACTGATGCTTTCTCTAATCATCTGGTTGCAGTTTTCTCTGATCTGATAGTTTTTAAAATGTATACTACCAGGGAAGGGGTGGTGTAAGACTGCTGGCTATGAAATTTGTTGAAACACTTATTGTTTTGTACACACCTGATACTAGTGGGTCTTTGGAACCTCCTTCTCATGAAGGTAATACTACCCTCATCTTTTAAGTTGATTCTATAAAAATTATAAGTATGTTTATTATTTTACTGGTCACTTAATGAATATATTCTGCAGGAAATCGTGCGGAGTTTAACATATCTTTTCTTCGTGGAGGCCATCCTGTTCTGAATGTTGGAGACTTGTCGATTGAGGCCAGCCAGAAACTGGGATTACTGCTTGATCAACTCAGACACCCTGCTGTAAAGTCTCTTAATAGCTCAGCCATTATTGTTCTTATCAACAGGTGAGCTTTCCGTGATGTAAATGAACATTGTATAGATCGGCTTTTCACTCACTCCGGAGACACGGCAGAAGTACCTGTACAATAAATAGTCAATGGAGAACCAGTTTCTCTTTGAATATACCCAGGAAAAAAATGAAAACATGTTTTCTTGATCTTACACACTTTTCCTTTTCTTCTGCTCAATAGCCAGTGCGAAAGATTGAGTTAGACATCCTGCTTCCACACGGAATCGTAAAAATTTACTTTCTTATCGTATTCAATTTAAGCGGACCCTGGATCTCGTCTAAACTTGTCTCATGGTTCATTGCTTCCTTTTTCCTACCAGTCTTTCATCAGTTGCAAAGAAACGGCCTGCTTACTGTGGACGCATTCTGCCTGTTCTACTGAGCTTTGATCCCCCTGCCTTTGTCAAAGGAGTGAATGCGGCAGCGGCACATCGTGCTTTGAAGACTGTGTTTCTCTACTGCTTGAAATGTACACACCCGACTGCTGCACCGGTATTATCTTGTTTTTGGAAACCATCAAGGATTTATGTTCCTCATTTCTTTCCTCCCAATAGTTCATGTCATGTTTGGCACTGCAAAATACCTGGGATTTATACCTGACCTTCCTGAAAGTTTGCAGTAGATAGTTTGTGGCCTTCAATGTTGTATTTTATGTGAATTACTTCAGCAGTTTCTCCTCGGGATTGTCATTTATATGTCATATAGGTCTTCGTAATTTGGGATTAAGGCATTGCTTTTGTTGTTGTTGTTGTTGTATAGGTCTGCGTAATTTATCCGCAAATAGTTAGCTCTTTTTGTGTTGTCATTATTGTAGTGGAAGGACCGATTGATTTGTGCTCTGGGAGAGATAGAGAGTGGAGATTTGGCAGGGAAAGCTCAAGACCAGTTTTTCAAGAGTAATGGAAGCACTGAGGATAAAGACAATGTACATGCTATCAAGGTACAGGCTATCAATCTCTAAGGACCCAATAGTCAGTTGGTTCTATTCATTGCTATATCCGGATGCTTGTCTTCTCTTTGTGAATGTGCATCCCTTGTCTGTATTGGTTTCTATGTTGTAATTACTTGGAAATTCTTTGAATAACGCCTTCTGAGTTTGCAGGAAGATAAACCTCTGCTTACAACTTCTGATGCTGCACAGAGTAACTTCAGGAGGAAAAGATCTGGATCACACGACAATAATGATCTGGATGGAGATGCTACGAATGGAAAACGTGCAAGATTGACACCTCCTGTCCCAGAAGAATCTAGGAAAGGTTTAAATGGAAACGTTGTTTCCTCTCAACTTCAGGTTGGTACGCCTTCAACTGGACCGAGTAACAGCAGAGGAGGCTGTGATTCTGGACCTGTTCAGCAACTGGTTGCTATGTTCGGGGCGTTGGTTGCTCAGGGTGAAAAGGCTATTGGGTCTTTGGAGATTCTTATTTCAAGTATTTCAGCCGATTTGCTTGTTGATGTTGTGATGGCCAATATGCATAATCTTCCATCCAAAGGTTATGAAGATGAAGGCGCTGATGAGTTGGTAATGAACATGTCAATAGTTGGCAGTGATGCAGAAATCAAGTATCCACCATCATTCCTAGCTGGTGTCCTATCATTGTCAACTACATTTCCGCCGATTGCTTCCCAGATTTTTCCTCATATACCGAAAATAGAAGATGTAACGTCATGCTTTACTTGATGACCTATCTTTCTTCTTTTGGGGGGCGGGAGGTTCTTTTTGGCTAATTTTTCTGTTCCTATGTTTATTTCTTAGTTTAGATGTTAATGCATACCGAAATGGTACAAATCACAGGGAGTTGAAGAACTATGTGCCGATCATGTGGACGACCACCCTTTCCTGCCTGGAGATGCAGTTCTTGCAGCTGATGTATTGGCCTCTTCTGATGCTGCTTTACCAACAAAAGAAGTGGGTGATATGATGTTGCCATCAGACGTGCGTGATGTAGGTGATATTGAAAGTGGAATACCTGGACTGGATTCCTCTGTGCCAGAAGCCATGGTTTCTGCATCAGCTTCTACAGATGTGGAGGATGCTAACCAGATTCAAAGTGTGAGTTTCAGTGGAAAACCAATTGCTGACGTGATGCCCTCTTTGTCTATGGATAGGTCAGAGGAATTAAGTCCAAAGGTGGATGGCACAAGTTCCAACGGCTTGGTTTCCTCAACTGCAACTTCCGATGCTGTTGCACCTCATTTTGTGTTGCCCAAGATATCAGCACCTGTTGTTGACCTTTCTGATGAAGACACTGACAGTTTACAAAAGCTGATGTTTATCCGTATAGTCGAAGCATATAAGCAAATTGCAGTTTCTGGTGGTTCACAACTTCGCTTTTCTCTACTTGCTCATTTGGGAGTTGAGGTAGCGTTCTGAACTGTCTTTTCTACATTTCTTTCTGTTCCCAAACAACTACTAGTGCAGGTATACATGTTTTTGTTAAAAACACGGTTTCTCATTATATATACTCTTTTTTATTTTCACTCTCTTGCAACTTTTTTTCCAGCACAATTCCATAAAATTTGGACCCTTTTAATGTTGATGCTTTGCAAAAAGTGATTGTTATCTTGTCTCACTTGCCTCTGTTCGACGAGCCTAGTTTGTGTATTTTGTTAGAATTCTGTGGACTATTGGTGCTTCCTCTGTCATATCTTTTAAATACATAATCTATATCGCAATATTGATTTGTGATCAAGATGATGTATTCAAAGCATTGTAGCATTCTGCATCACGGTTTAATTGTTATATTTACCTCTTTTCAGTTTCCTTTGGAGTTAGACCCTTGGAAATTACTACAGGAGCACATTCTATCGGATTATTTGAATCATGAGGTAATCTGATATTTACTGAATCACAATATGTCATGGCTCTTAACTTAAAGTTTAACAAGTTGAACTGTTTAACTTTTTCGTATGCTTTGTATCATCGATTATCGCGTCTTGGTAACATCAAGAAAGCCCTATATTTGGAAAAAGCTATTCTAAAACAGTCAAGTGGTGGTCTTAATTTTTGGCTCTTAAATGGTATGCTGGAATTAAAGGTCCAGGATTTATATACATCTGGTCTCTCTACCTGGCCTAATTGGGTAGTTCTTAGTTCTGTGAATCTCGGTTCAGAAATGCAAACATATCTCTTGCATTCTACTTGCAATGACTGTTCTATATTCTCTCCTATTTTTTTTCCTTTTGTCGGTTTGGTAAAAGCTGTCCAGGACCAGCAAGTTCATCTACTTGATACATTCTTAACCGATCTGCTGATAGCTCTTGCTCGTGTTTTCAGGGACATGAGTTGACTGTGCGGGTTCTTTACAGGCTATATGGGGAGGCAGAAGAAGAACAAGATTTCTTTTCATCAACCACTGCTGCTTCTGTCTATGAGACATTCTTGCTGACTGTGGTATGTTTTCATTTTTTACATCATTGTGAACATTTTGTCATAATTTTCTGAGAAAGCTTTCTTTTCCGTTTAGGCTGAAGCACTTAGAGATTCTTTTCCACCATCTGACAAAGCATTGAGCAAATTGCTCGGAGATGCTCCATATCTCCCCGATTCGGTTCTAAAGTTGTTGGAAGCTTTTTGCTGTCCTGGAAGTAGTGAAAAGGTGGATAAAGATGTGAATAGTGGAGACCGTGTAACACAAGGTCTTAGTGCTGTGTGGAGCCTGATTTTGCTGAGACCTGGAATCCGAGATGCCTGCCTGAAGATCGCTTTGCAGGTTTCTGCTATGACCTTTTTGGTTGATTTGTTATTCTCCAGCTGCTCCTGGCATTTAGTTAATTAGATCAGTGCAATTCATATACTGACTCCATTGGGAATTTGGTTCATAGTTTTGACTGGCATTGTCCTTGTGTTTAGTTCTCCTTCCTCTTTTGGATACTTATCTTTGTTTAGTTTTTCCTATCATTTTCTTATAAACATATGTTTCTAGTGTTAAGGGCATAGACATATTCTTTTTTTTTTTGTTGACCATCTAACTAAACTTTTTTTTCGTCCCTGTGGCTGAAAAAGAGTGCTGTTCATCACTTGGAAGAAGTCCGCATGAAAGCAATCCGCCTGGTATGCTTCATCATAACCTTCCATGAAATGTGTGTGCCTTTTTTATGCAATCAATGTTAACTCCTTTGGATATCATTTAACAGGTGGCAAACAAACTCTATCCATTATCATACATTGCACATCAGATTGAGGAATTTGCCAAGGACATGCTATTTTCTGTCGTGAGTGGCACTTGTACTGAGAGACCTGATGCTGAAGCACCGAGTAATGAATCTAGAAAGGTCTTGGCTCGTGCCCAAAGTATTTTGTTTTTGGTATTTGTATATACTTCTTGTCTGCTACTTCTGGACTGTGCATAGAAGAGTGCATATAATCATTTCATATTTCTTTTTCAAAAAGGATCTTGAGGTGGAAAATATACCAAATGAGCCTCAGTCGGTGAATGGTATCAATAAAGATATGTCAGAAGCAAGTCAATCATACTCATCATCAGCTTCAATTCCTGCAGCCCAACAGTGCATGTCACTGTATTTTGCTCTCTGTACAAAGGTCCTACTTAGCTCTCTTGATTTTTGTTCTGTTCTTCGACAGATTGATAATTTTGGCCTTTCAGTTATGAGCTATATTTTAGCTAAACATTTTTGTTTCGATGTGTAACACTCGATGGGCAGAAGCATTCCCTTTTTCGCCATGTGTTCAGTGTTTACAAGAATGCACCAGATCATGTTAAGCAGGTTAGAATGGAGCTTGTTCTAGCATTTTAAATGGGATTTCTGAAGTAGCACGTCTATCTCCATGGTATTTATTCTCTCTGATTATTCTGTGCAGGCTATTCATCGGCATATCCCAATACTAGTCCGTACTATGGGGTCATCTCCTGAGCTTCTTGAAATTATAGCAGACCCTCCGAGTGGGAGTGAGAATCTTCTGATGCAGGTTTGCAGAGCTATTAAAGTTTATTAATATATGCCAGATATGAAAATTGTTGGAAAGTTTGGTGGGTTGTTTTATTATTTCCTTAATTTTTCCTCCGTTTTGACAGGTCTTGCAAACCCTTACTGATGGACATGTGCCATCTTCAGAGTTAATACAAACTATAAGGAAGTTGTTTGAAACAAAAATGAAGGTCAAAACGGTGATTTTTTTTTCCTGTAAGACTGTGTAGCTAAGGTATCAGCTAATTGTTTTTCATTGCGTCTGATGGAATGCAGGATGCCGAAATTTTATTTCCGATATTGCCTTTCATGCCGCGAGACGATGTAGTTTGCTCTCTTTTATTATCTCATTCATTTTTGTCTCTTGTATTTTCTCACCTTTTATGGTCGCAATTTTTGTTCATTGTTTTCCTGCTACACTTCCTAATCTTGTTGCTTGCATCTCTATCAGGTTCTACGTATTTTCCCCCACTTGGTGAATCTTCCTTTGGAGAAGTTCCAGGTTGCACTTTCTCGTGTATTGCAGGTATCTCAATCTGAGTAAAGTTCTACCTTTGAATATCACTTTATGTTTTGATCTTTGTGAGAAAGAATCAAGATGCGTTAGTTGTTACCGGCAGTACTATTTGCTAAGTATGAGTACCACACGCCCCAGAGATCATGCTAGAATAGTGAATTAGTAGTAAGCTAAAGCTATGGTTCTTGCCACTAAATAATTTTTTTTTTGTCTTTCATTTTCTATGGTTTACCTCCATGATACTTATGCCTGGTTATTGGTACTTACATAGTTACATCTAATATTATTTGTGGTACATAATATAACTGTGAGGGTAAAGTGTTCTCTCTAAGCATATCCCAGGTTTGATTTGTTTGCTTTGGGCATTTATACTCAGGGATCACCTCGCTCCGGTCCAGTGCTTTCTCCATCCGAAGTTCTAATTGCTATCCATGGTATTGATCCAGAGAGAGATGGAATTCCGCTAAAGAAGGTAGGTTTCAACAATTGTGCTAAAACCATGAAGGCATGAAATGAAAAAAGGGTACTTGATGGAAAATGAAAATCCCCCTCATCATTTTTCTTACCTTGTTTCATCAGCACTGATGCTGGTTGCCTAAATGGTATGTCGTTATGTTCTATCAGGTGATAGATGCATGCAATGCCTGTTTTGGGCAGAGGCAGATATTTACTCAACAAGTGTTGGCCGGTGTTCTGAATCAACTGGTGCATCACATTCTTTCTTGCCTAGCCTTTTCCCTATTTTTGGTTTTGATTTTTTGTTGGAATTTGAGTTTTTCTCCAGGCAGTTTCTCAATTGTCAAGTTTCTGCCTGTAGGTCCAGCAAATTCCTCTTCCCCTATTATTCATGCGTACTGTGCTACAAGCTATCGGTGCTTTTCCGGCATTGGTAAAGGGGGCTGATCACATGCTCGCTTATAAACTATCTTTCTTCCACAGTTACCTATTCCTGAAAATTAAACTTAGTAGTGTGATAAACTTGATATTATTTTAGGTGGACTTCATCTTGGATATTCTTTTGCGTCTCGTCAGCAAGCAGGTTTGTATTATATCGATTCTTTATTACTCCATATGTTTCTTTTCTTTCATGTGATTTGCTGTTCTGTATGATAAATTATCACAGATATGGAAATCTCCCAAGTTGTGGGTAGGATTCTTGAAATGTGCTCAGTTAACACAGCCTCAATCATACAAAGTGTTACTACAGGTGCGTTTATAATTACTTTCTATTGTGTGTTTACTTGTAAGAGCTTCCTACCTGATGTGCCAGAGATATCTGCTGTGGCTTTCGCATGTAGTTACTTCTCCGTGGGGAAATGTGGGTAACAATAGATATTGCAGAGTTCTGAAAGGCAATTTGTTCTTGGATGATATATTGATATGAACTTGTTTCATAATTTAAGGTTTTCTATTTTAACTCATAGTGGGACGCAGACAATCAGTTTTCTTATTTTTCGACACATTTATTTGGTATGGTAGCTTTTATCTCTTATCGGTTCCCCTTGTCCAACAGCTTCCTTCACCTCAACTCGATAATGCATTGACTAAAATCTCAGTCCTAAAAGCTCCACTTGCTGCTCACGCCAGTCAGCCAGACATCCGGTCTTCACTTCCAAGGTGACTTTGACTCTAAACGGTTTCTTTTTGTATCTGAATTTTAGACAGTTCAAAATTGATGCCTCAGCTTTCTCCAGTTGCAAAATTTTCTTGAGATCGTTGGATATGAATGCCCCCACTTGTCTTCGTGCATAGATCTACATTAGCCGTACTGGGAATTGCCCAGGATTCATCGGCAGCACAGACGAGTCAAGTGCAACCGAGTGAGGGACCGATGAGTCAGGGACAGCAAGCGAGCGAGGCCCAGATGGGTCAATCTCAGCAAGTAGTGTCTGCACAAGTGAGCCAGTCTCAAGCAAGTCAGGCAGAGACCAGCCAATCAGAAGTGGACCAATCTCAGTCTCAAACCAGTCCGGAAGGCACCACCGAGCGCCAGCCTGAGATGAGTCAGACCCAAGAATCGGATCCCCAAGCTACAAGTCAGGTGCAGCTGAGCCAGGCTCAAACGAGTCAGACCCAGACTTCAGATTCTCAAGCTTCAAGCCATGCAGTAGCAGCTACTCAAGCCCACCAGACAACCGACACAGCCGACTCAGAACACGAGCCTGTGACAGTAACTGAGGAATCGAAAGAATCTCCTTGTGCATCTGGTTAGAGCTGAGGTCGTAGTTGGTAATATGGCAGAACTTACATAGATCATCATCCCCGGTAGAGTAGACGAATTTTGGAACTCAAACAGGTAAGAAGAAGGGGTGAATGCGTGTGGAAGTGAGAATTGTTCTTGAAAGTGTTGTGTTTGTAGAACGATTTGTAGCGTTGTGAGAGTTGGGTCGCTTAATTGTTACTGTGTCGGGAATGGGTCAGTGTGAACTCCAGAATGAGACCGATACCAATAACAAAGCCCTGCAATATGAAATTTATGTACCGTATCTCCTGTGTTTTGACTCGAGTTTATCCGAGTAGATTTTTATATTTGTAGTTAAACTTCTAATTCCATGATAATTTAAGACAAAATTCACAATGTTGGCAGTAAGTACATTATTATTTATCATAAAATAATCAAAAGATAATAATAATAACAACGGACGAAACCCAATTGTTTTTCTTTTTCTGTTTAAGCACACATGGATATATAGGAACCAAGAAAGAAAGTCAAAGAAGTAAGGTTAGAGTAGAGGAGGGAGACCACAAACACAATTTGCATGTGAGAGTGAAACAGACAGAAAACCAAAGGATTCAAAGTTGTGGGCTCTGCGACCTTCAGAATCCTATTTCTACTACGCTTTGCTTTGGACCACCCCACCCCACCTTGGATTCTCAAACAGACAAGACTATATGGGCATATTTTATGGCTGATTAATTAGAGAACTAGGTTGTCAGATCAGATACAAAGTTCATCTACCAACTGGTCCATGATGAGGTCAATGATTTCTTGACCAAAATCAACGCAAAAGTCTTCGACTCTGTCGAAACCGATTGGGTCAGTGTTGGATGAAACCCAACTCGAAGACTTCATGTCTTCTTCAGACAGCTCTGACAGCATTTTCATTAGCTTTGTTGTGAACTCTGTCTCTTCATCGCTGTTGCCTTCTTTCTTGCTCGTTTTGGTTTTCGCCGGTGATGATCTTTTCTCGGGCTTCCACTCCGGTGTCATCTCGCAGTCCCCTTTTTCAAATTAAAGTAACATCGGAATATTAAAAAAATATAATATAAAGTTTTAAGCTCTGACAATTTTGATAATATAAAACAAAAAAGTGCACTTGAAATTGATGTCGATTTTGACAAAATCTCACTTTTTTCTCTTTTTACAGTAAATCTGAATATATCGTTGAAAGTAGTCTTTGAGATTTGAATTATTCTTCGAACGTTATATGTTATTTTTTTCTTTTAATTAGAAAAATACATCGTCAAGTCAAAAACTAATTAAGGGGAAAAAAGAAAAGAAAAGAAGTGAGACTGACCTGAGTAGTAGTCGTCATCCAGGATTAGATAATCATAGAGATCACGATCAAGAACCGAAACCGGACTCGAATCCGACTTCTCCCCCGCATCTCCCTCTTTTCCGGCGACCCTTTTGCTCCCTCTCCCTTCTCCGGCCAATTCTCCGATCTCCGGCGCCGGCGATGGGCTCTTAGGCTCGCCGATCAGCGACACCTTGTCCTTACTCTTTGACGGAGACAGAAACCAACGAACTTTCTTGGCTCTCACGTCACTTCGCTTCTCGCTCTTCTTCACTGCTTTTCTCGGCTCGTCTTTGAACTTCTTCGCCACCTTCCTGTTCTCCTTCTTCTCCGCCACGACGATCACTTCCTTCTCGTCGTCTTTGTTGCCCTTCGGCTTTGGATCCTCAATCACCTTCTCGAACCTTCTCGACCTCGACCCGATTTCTCGGTTTTCGTCGAGCTTGTCAAGATACAAGAGAAGGAAATCGTGCCTTTTCTGATTGTTCGATTTCGATCTGGCCGAACTCGGCAGAATCTCCCGGAAAGAAACCGAGGCTTTGACTCGCCGGCATCGTTGACCGTCTTTCTCGTCCTCTTCCTCCTCTTCTTCGTCGATTCTCAGGATGTAATCCATGAAGTTAACCGACTTGCTTCGGGTAACCGAACCCGGACGCTCATCGTACCGGACACGGGTCGACTCGTGTACGTCGCCTAGGCCCATGAGCTTAGCGACGACGTTGGGAGCGATGGCGGAGCTGCCGGAGGGCTCAACCGAAACGTCGTCGTTTTCGGGAATAGGGTCTTTCTTCGGTTCCTCCTCGAAGTGTAACTCGAAGGGCACTTCGGCGTCGGGAATGTTGTCGGAAGGATGGGTTTGTTGGCTACCGGAGCACAATAGACGGCGGACAACCGTCGTGAAGCAGCCGGATTTCGGGTTGGCTTTCTCCGCCATTGTGGCCTATTTTGCTCTGATGATGATGTGGAGTAGAAGTGTGAGCTCTAAATGTGAAGACTTGGGTGCAATATATACAAGGGACAAGATGGAATGATTGCTTATTTACTAGACTTATGTGGGCCCACCCGCTCATTAAAGCCCAATCAATGAGCTTTTGCATTTTAAATTTTTTTTGGATCATCATATTCAAATGATACCATTACCTACCTACTCTACTTATATTTTTCATAAGAAACACAGTGGCACTCGCTAGAAAAAAAAAACATCCTTAAAAACCTTCAAAGAGCATATCTGTTGTTTAAAAGCATCAATTGTCACAAGTGTTTTTAGAAATATAAAATAGTAATCATGCATTACTCCAAACAATTTTCTTTTCCAAATGGTCAAATTCCGATTGATTCAAGGTTTTTAATGATATAGAAGTGTGGTTTAAGTGTATTTGAAATGGTTAGAAAAAGAAGGTAAAACTACTAATATAGGGGCAAAATGATGCATCCCAATGCTAATTAAAACTCCTCTTAAAACATTATTTTAAAAAATAAAATAAAAAACTTACAAATAAGACAATGGAGAATAGGAATGGCGGGATCACATTTTTTGAATACTGCTTTTTTTGTGTGTGTTGAATCTTCCAAAGAAGGAATCTTAGAAAGTTCTCTTCTATCTTTATTCCCTCAACCTTTTTTTTTTTTTTAATTTTAAAACAACAATCTAAGACGGGGCATATTATATCATTACTGTGTTTATAATAATGATTAATAATATAGACCTTATTCCCCTATCGATTTTCTCTGTATTGAGGTAAGCCGATTTATTTTTCGAGCTTTTACGAGGAGATTTGTTTTGCAATTTCATATATTCTATTTATATTAAAAATATATTAATCATCAAAATGAAACTTTTTTAAATTTGGGTGCTGCGTGTTTTCACACAGAACAAAAAAGAAATATAAATATATTTAAATTAGAGAATATGAAAAAAAGTATAATAATATGTACACGATAACAACAAATAGTGGAGTAGGTTCTGATACATTCTATAATAATAATTTGATCAATAGAAATTGACATTTTTATACAATCGTATATGGAATTTCTATTACTAATTATTATAACAAGTAATAATATGTTATAACAAGTAATAATATGTTTTCATACAAAAAAAAACAAGTAATAATATGTCAGGCGGAACATGAAAACATATAGTATAATAGGTTATGGTGGCTATTTAGCTTGCATTTTGTAAAAGTTGGGACAGTTTTGTAGAGTTTAAAGGAATGGAATAAAAGATTCCAAATTTAAATTCCGAGTGAACGAAATATAGTATTTGATAAAAAGATTAGATTCTCTCAATCCTTTTTTTTTTTTTTTTTGTGGGTTCAAATTTTCAAATATGATAAATGACATGCAAGACAAAGGGTTGTGTTCAGGAACCAAAGTACCCTTCTCTGGTCATGGATGGAGTTCACACCGGAAAAAGAGGAAAAAGTTGGATTCATGTTTATCTCTGACGCGCTACAGACAGCGCGTGGTGTCGGAACAAGATTTTGCTGAAACTCGACAGAGTCCTTGTCTTTGAACCACTCAAAAAAAAAAACAAAAAAGATATTGTGACTGTATTTATCCGACCCAATCATCTTAGGTTCGCTTGTCAAAATCAGATGTATCATCGTATCATTCTATATATTTCAAAATTAATTCGGCAACAGAATCAAAATTCACTCGAGATACGGAAGGGTGTACGGAAAATGAGAATGGGCCCACATCTGTTCATTATGATATTATTGGCCCAATCTGTAACTGTCACAAAGCCCACAAGCCCAATTGAAGGGGACTTAGGCCCCACAATAGTTCAGATCCAATTCTCACTTGCTGTGTGTCCCCTTTGATTTTCCCAACACACTTAAAAGAAGTATACTGTCATTTTATCGCTTAAAACGACCAATCACCAAAGTATAAGAACATCATTCCCCCTCCCTCCAGAAAGAATGAAACAATGTACACTTTGCCAAACACATCGGTCAAAATCGGTTTCAAAAGTAACGGCTCAGTCCGACAGGGATGATGATGAGCTGGCGAGTAGAGGGTCGGTCTGGTAGTAAACGATGTCGCCTGTGTCACTCACATAGTGATCCTTTCCTAAGCTTCTGATGAGAATGGCAAATAGGTGGAACGGCAATGGCCCTGATCTCTCTGGCTCTCTGTAGTACTTTCCGAGCACTGGCTTTGCCGCCTCAGTCTGCATCGGTTTTTAAAAGAGGGTGTAAAATTCAGGGCATTGCGGTGATTTGATCCTAGTTTCATGCATGATGTGGCAAACTTACAGCTTCCACTAGATGGTAATGAGGGATCTGAGGGAATAGATGATGGATAACATGTGTCCCGATGTCGTGGTGAATGTTGTTTATCCACCCGTAATCTCGATCAAGCGTTGTGAGACCGCCTCTCAAGTAACTCCATTCCTGCCCATATAATCCAACAATGAGATTCGACAAGGGCTCTTGTCTGATATTTCAAAACAACAAAGTTGAGTTGAGATATAGCAAGTCAAGTACCTTCCCACGGTACCAAGGAAGTTTCTCTTCATGTCCGTGGTGATGCAAGTAAGTCACAAAGTCCAGCCACATGACGAAAATCTACCGAGTTTTTTCAGAGTTACATGTTTGAAATCAACATGAATAGAAAGTGAGATCCAAATATCGGATTTTGCAATGTTTTACCCAATATGGGACTCCATAGAGCTTAAGCACTTGGATCGGACCCATCACGAACGATAACCCCACGAGCAGACCAACCATGGCCGTCCAGCAAAGCGTGGACGTAATAATGTCTTTTCCCTCGTTCTGGCTGAATAAGTCGCTGGAGGGGTCAAAGTGAGATCCAGCCTTGCCAGGGCTTCTACGCCACTGCACAACACATCCAATTTGATCAAAACCAGAGACAAAGCAATGAGAATTACAATTACAAAGCATCAAACAGAATTCATTCTTGCATCACTTACCAGATATAAAGGATAGGCGAGCAATGGGAAAGGCACCGTGAATCGCAAAATTCTCGTTGCTGTATCTAAACAGCGGTACAGTTTTTCCGGCAGCTGCAAGATTGACGACAAAATAAAGTTTCACTTTCAGCTAATAAACAAGTGAAATTCATGATCTTCAAAACAATGATTCAAGGGGTGGAGTAACGTACAGGGTGCCAAGATTCATCATTCTCCACATGCCCATGGTTCTGATGATGAGTCCTATGGCTAATTCTCCTGTAGTTCAAACAAGACCGCATAACTCTAATGTCACCTTCTTCATTCCACACAGATTAAACAAATATTGATGAGTTTGAGAAGAAACTCGCAATTCATAGTTCATACCATCCGTGGTAAGGAACGAGGATCGACGAGTGCAGAAAATGACCCATCACGCTGTTCAGCTTCGGATTGTTCGAGAAACTTCCATGCCCACTATCCAAATTCATGTCCCGGAAATCGAAGAACAGCTTAAATTAATATTCAGACGATGAATTTGTCAGAATCCTTAGTGGATGCTTTTCACGAGACTCTTACCAGTCGTGTCCGAGAACGAAGAGAGCCCAAAACATTGTCCCCTGAGCCGCCCAGTACATCGGCCAGACCAGCCAGCTGTTGATATACGCCGCCGCCGCCGCCAGGCCAAGCACCACCGCCACGTCCCTGACGACGTAGCTCATCGACCACCACGTGTCCTTTACCCAGCAGTGTTTCGGTATGGAGGCGCGGATGTCGGCGAGGCTGAACGGCGGACGAGTGCCGGGGTCGAACTCCTCCGCCGCCGCCACCACGGCTCCGACGCTCTGTCCCTCCTCGTCTACCGCGGTCACGAAACTCGCCGGAATGCTAACCCTGAGCAAGTAGCTCTTCCCTCTCAGGCTCCTCACCGGCGACTGAACCGCCGGGAGACCCATATTCCTCCGGCGGATCAAATCGAGATGGGTAGAGGAAATTAGGGTTTTACGAGGGCAAAGGAGAGGAGAAGGGAGGGGCTTGACGCCGCATGGAGACGAGACGAAGATAGCCGCCATGGGAAATCCTCAGACAACTCTCTCTCGCTCTCTCCCCCCGGAAATTAGAGAAGGCGAGAGTCGAAAAGAGAGAGAGGGGATGTTATAGATTCTCCTTTCTTAAACTGACGTGTTTTTTTTTTTTTTTTTTTTTTTTGGTATAAGGTTGAATTTTTTCATTAAATCAAAAGAGGTTCCTTTACAAAAAAAAAAAAAAAATACAGGCGAAGGTGTACAAAACAGGATAACCATGTCACAAAATAAGCAAAATGTGAATGTGGCGTGCGTGTTTGTTCGTACGTGAATATTTAATAATTCGCCTGAATTGAATTCTTTTTTAATATTTTTTCAGACATTTAGTGGAAACTAGTCAAATGTTCAAAGCTATCAACAGGAACTGGGATTTACGTAAGTGATTTTTTTGAATCCTATACGTAAGTTTTTTCTTCGAATACAGAGCGGATGAGGATATCCGTTATGGAATGAGAAAAATATAAATATTAGGTTATACGATATCAATTCCAAGTATTATATATTCGGACCGATCTATGATATATCTGTAAAGATGTTCGATGCAAAACGTACAGGTACATATATACACAACTCAACAAAATCAATTTAATAATGAATGGATATATCGATACTGGAATTTGTCAAGTGGGCATATATATATATATATATATACATACGGTGTTTATACAAGCCCTCATTTGTAATTCTTAAAAATTGCCTACACGATTTGGTTTTGTTTCCTGCCAATTGAATTTTCTTTCATTCGCCAAATGACTTCGTCATAAAACAATTGTCTATATGGACAAATTTACCCTGGCACTTGCTTCCTGTTTGTCCATTGTCTCACCGACAAGCAATATGAAAATATCGGGCGCGGTCGGTTTATTCTCTTACACGTATGGGATCACGACGTATCCTCAAAACAGCCTCCATATTAAACTTTATTTATAAAAAAAAAACACAAACACCCAACAAAGCAAACACAAACTACATTCGAAACCAGAGCGGACATATATATATATATAATAGGAAGGGAAAATATTCAGCGTTGCATGGACGTAGACGCATCTCCTCCTCGCTGGGAACCCCGAACCCTAATCTTCTTGTATAACGTCGCCGCCGCAGTCAAGAACTCAATCTTCTGAGCAGTCTGGAGGATTCCGACGATCTTGATCGCAGTTCTCATCCTCAGGGCGTCGGCGGCCGCCACCACCCCCTTCATCGCCGTCGCAATCCAATCCACATCAGCCTGCGCCGCCATGTTATCCTCCCTGCTCTGCCGCCGTATGGCCCTCAACGCCGCCGCACTCCGCTGGATCTCGGCCAGCCGGTGCTCTATTGTCGTCTCCGCCACTATGGTCTCCAACTCGAGCATATCCATCTTATCCATCTGCTCGTTCGTCAAGCCTCCCACGGCATCCTTCACGATGCCTATCCCTAACCCCGGCTTGAAGCCGGCGACCCAGAGGAAGCAGATCTCGAGGCGGGAGAACCACGTGGGGGATAAAAGGGCAAAACAGTCATTTTCCCTGACGACGGCTTTGCGTTCGAAGTATTCTTTGTAGTGGCGGATGACACGCGCGATGAGATCGTCACGGTCGCAGAAACCTTCCTCTCCGGCGTGCTCTTTTGCTGCGAGGAGTTCGTCGTGGAATCCTTCTTGCCGGAGAATCCATTCTCCGACGAACTCCGCGAACTCAGACGACGCCATTGGAGAAACCCAAGCGGAGCGAGTGCTCTGGACAACCTCGGAAAATCGAACGGCACGTACATTACATATAAAGGGTGACGTTAGGGGTCAAATTGGAAATCATACTTTCTTATGGTTGGACGAGAGGGGATAATGACCGCATGGGATAATGTAATTTAATATGCAGAGTATAAATACCAAAAAAAGCTCGGCACATGGTATTGTGAACATATTCCCTAGTTTTGTTTTTCTTGCGGGGGACCAAGGGAAATCAATGAATCCACAAGAATCGTGTGAGATGAAACGGGACTAAGTCCGGTCAAAGGGGTTTTTCATGGTATTCCCGAATATATATATTCTGAAATCATATTATAAATTTTGTTGTTTGCTTTGAACAGGGCCGTCTCAAAGTTAGAGGAGACCCTGTTCAATATATGTAAAGGATATATATATATATATATATATATTTATTTATAAATTAAAATTAACTTATTTTTTAATTTTTTTATTGAAATACTCTTATATACTAATAAGAAAAATTAAAATTAACTTTGTTTATAATTTTTTTGATTGAAATATTCTTATATACTAATTTGTTTAATGTTTTTCTAAAATATATATTGATTAAAAATTATTTATATTTGTTATCAAATTATATTTTTATTTTGTTTCAAATTTTTAAAAAAATTTAAGATTACTATAAAATAAAATAAATCTACCGTAATTTAATCAGATTTTAATTTTTTTATATTTTTTTATAATGAATTTTATCTTTTTATTTAAAACTCATATAATTATCAAATTTTAAAAATAATTTTTTTTTAAAAAATGAGGCCCTAGAAAATTGGGGGTCCTGTGCCATGGCACCACTTGCACACCCTATTAGACGGCCCTGGCTTTGAACAAATCCGGTTCGTTTTCAAGGAGAACGGTAGGACAAATAAATATTTTCTTTAGAACGGATGTCGGACACGTGTAGAGTAGTTTATGCTTTATTACCACAAGTCACGTGGAAGTGGATCGACCGCACAAAGATAAGTCACGTGCTTCTCTATTTCTGGAAACCATACCCACACCCGGTTCTGCAGCGTGTGCGTGAGGCTCATAAACCGGTCGTTTTTGTCGCTAGAAACGACACACAGTTCGGCCCATGTATGAATTGGTGTTTTGGGCTAAAGCGCCTTTTAGGGAGTTGAAAGAAAGTGCAATATCCACCGTCCGAATTAAACTCAAAACTCGGCAGCCGTCCGATGCAGACCTAGGATCGATGCCCTAAACGCAACTCACGCCCGCCCGCCGCCACAACGAACATTCCCCGTTCTATATACATAGAAAACCTAAAATCGCAGACCAGAGCGAGTTATCTTTGATTCCGTCGGATCTCGAAGGTTCTTTCTCCATATGTGCTTTCCGTCAGGTAATTACTCTACCTAAATTCGGCGAAGGATTGCTCGGTATAATCTATTCGGTCAGGCAATTTTGCGATTTTTGATTGATTATTTGTCTTTTCTCGGTCGTGTTCGTTATCTGCCGGTGAATTTAGTCATCTGTAGCTAGTATTTTCCCAGAATATTGTTTGGTTTTGGTATTTTACCGCTAGAGTTTTGTTGCCTCTGTTTCTGACGGGGAAAACCGAGGGGAGATTTCGACTATGGCGGGAGGAAACTTCGTCCACAGAGTTTTCTCGTACTCGCGAACGAGCTCATAGTTAATGAATTGGCGGACAGGTATCGCCTTCTTCATTCATTAAAGGTTTTGGTGTTCGCCATTGGCGTGTTCATACGTTTTCTGGTTGATTATATGTGCTTCTTTCTCTGGCCAATTGGATTCCTGTATGTTCCGAATCGGCTCGTGCAGTTGAAGCGAGATACCCCCAGTTTTCACGCTGGTCTGCTGCGTTAGTTACCATACGCTGCAGCGTAAGAAGATTGAGAGATTTTTCTTCCACAGGAAGACTCATTTGTGTCTAATTGAGAGATTTTTCTTCCACAGGAAGACTCATTTGTGTCTCTCTTGCAGAAATTTACGAATTTCCTTAGCATTATTAGTTTTCTTAAACATTTAGTTCATGCATAGGGTCTTGTGAATCACGCTTCACCTTTTGGTAATCTGGAAATTCTCCGTGCCATGAACCTTTGCTCGCTAAAGCGGGATCATCTTAAAATCAGTTCTTGGTATTGTTTGGCATTGTGGAATTCTATATGCCATGCGTTTAGCTTTAAATGTGTTTTGTGAATCTCAAGTCTTCTTTGATGTTGACTGTGTTTCTTCAAAGCCTTGAGGAACTGCTCGTGTGTTTTTAGTTTAACGTGTGAATTTCTGCCAATGATGACTCTTTCGTAGGCTTGTCCCGATCTCAGAGATGACGTAACACTTATATCTTAGAGACTGAGGCAATCATGACCCTGTTTCCTACATTTACAATAATCTCTAGTGTATCTCTGTGACCAGAATGCATTTCTGTTAGATTGATTGATTACCTTGTGTCCGCACGAAATCTTTTTGGCATCCAGATGATGTTCTCATCGTGGTTTTGTTTCACACGATTGGTTGCCTGTAGTCAAATCCTATTATGCTATTCTGACTCACAAGCTTGGGTTGCGCTGGAAAATTTAGCCACCTGAAGCGCCTGTCCATGAACTTGTCCAGCAAATGAAGCGCCTGTCCATGAACTTTGACGCCTTGTGGTTTTTATCCTTTTAACCCATGTCTTTGCCAAGATTTGTGTAAGATAACTTAACAGATCCTTTTCACTTTGCAGGCGATCAAGAGACAGTGAGGTATATCCTTTCCTCTGCAGATGACAGTGGGAATGGTCTTCTTGTGAAAAGAATGTTTCCGGATGTGTTTAAAACACTATAATACTTGTCAATCACTCACTGGATTCTTTATTTTTTAGTTCCAGAAGAGAAGACTGACTCTACGACGCCGTTTCGGATGTCAGTCCAATGGATTTTAGGATATAAGAACGACCCGTTTGCGTTATGATTTTGACTATTTTGGGTTGGTCAAATCCTCTTTGGGTATGCTCCGGCGAGAGCCGCCGTGGCTAAATGAATAGCGTAATTGTCCGTTTTCTGGAATTTAGTATGCAGTGTAGTGTATATTCCATATTTCTGGGTGCCTCCTTTTTCACAAACAGAAATGCGGTAGGGTGAAGGAGCTCAGAGACCGTACAGTTGAGGAGTATATGATGTATGCACACACTCTAGAGTGTTCTCCTGCATATATGTCTGTTGTAATTGTGCCTTGTAGCTCGCACGCATGTCTTTATTGTTCGAATGGGCGCTTTAAGATGTCGTCTTATCTGATGGCAGCGTTACGTGGCACATTCATGTCTTAAATGGGCCTCATGGGAAAAAGTCTTATGAAACCCGGCCCATATGGAAAACGACATTATGGCTTCGCTCTCAGATAAATGGGCCTAAACTAATAACTGGATTATTATTTTTTTTTTACCATTTCAAATTCACCACCTTATTTTAAAGGGAAATTCCCAAAAAAATCATCCTATTATGAGATAACTATCACATTCATCACGAACTTTTAAAATTTTTAAATTCATACTGGATTTGAAATTTTTTTCTAAAAAATCATTCAAAATTTAAATTTTAACAAAATCCTCATCGGAACAGGATTAATTTTGCCACATAGGAAGAAAGCGTCTACATGGCGCCTACGTGACATGTATGTGTTCGCCACGTAGGATACACGTGGCATTAATAATAAAAAATTAAAACAAAATTGAAAAAAATGTAAAAAAAATTATAAAAAATGTGGAAAAAATTACAAAAAAATGTAAAAATTGTAAAATTGTAAAAACATTTTCAAAAAATGTAAAAAAATGTAAAAATTATAAAAATTGCAAAAAATTATAAAAATTGTAAAAATTGTAAAAAAATGTAAAACAAATTGTAAAAAATTAAAAAAATTTAATTTATTTTTTTAAAAAAGGGAAATTTTCAAAAAAAAAAATCATCCAGTTACGAGATAACTATCAAATTCATCACGAACTTTACAATTTTATACTTTTTACAATTTTTACAATTTTTTACAATTTTTTACAATTTTTTACAATTTTTTACAATTTTTTACATTTTTTAAAAATGTTTTGCAATTTTACATTTTTTCAATTTTTATAATTTTTTGCAATTTTTTTATAATTTTTATAATTTTTACATTTTTTTACATTTTTTGAAAATGTTTCTACAATTTTACATTTTTTACATTTTTTTGTAATTTTTTCATATTTTTTATAATTTTTTTCAATTTTTTTTCAATTTTTTTATTATTAATGCCATGTGTATCCTACGTGGCGAACACGTACATGCCACGTAGGCGCCATATAAGCGCTTTATGCCTACGTGGCAAAATTAATTCTGTTCTGATGAAGATTTTGTTAAAATTTAAATTTCGAATGATTTTTTAGACAAAAAATTCAAATCCAATATGAATTTGGAAATTTTAAAAGTTCGTGATGAATGTGATAGTTATCTCATAATTGGATGATTTTTTTGGGAATTTCCCTATTTTAAATAATCTCAATATGGCTATCACCTGAAATTGCCAAGCTATTTTTTTCGCATATAATTTACATAATATAGTTGTAACGCGAATTTATATGTCTACAAAAATCGCGTTTGTGGAACGCAGCGGAATTCCCATAACGATGAGGATGTAATCGCAGTCGTGGAAGGCAGTCTCTATATAAACAAACCCTAGCTTCGACAAAATGTATCCGCTCTCTCTGTCCCCTCGCAAACCCTAGGTTTCGCCGCCATTGAAGGCGCCCAGTATTTCTCTCTTATTGAGTTTGTTTTGTTCCGCGTGTTGAGTCTGGTTCCTGTCGGATTTCTTGTTTCTTCTCAAGCATTTGCGGGGAGAGTATTCTCTCTGCCGTCTCTCAGTTCTGGAAGAAGGTGAATGGAGTGAAGATGAACGACTCCATTACAAACGTGCTCGGTGTTCCATCTCAACTTATTGATCTACTTTCATGGTGTGAGTTTCATAGATCTCAAAGACATTTCTTTGTCAGAGCAATACGGGGACCTTGGGAGATTTTTCCTCTCAATCTCCTGTTTTGTGTTCTTTTTCAATCCAACAGGATAGTCTTTTTGCATTTCCCAAATGAAGAGTATTCATCAAAGCTATGGATCAAACATCCAGATGATGCTACAGTCATAGTTACTCTGATGGGCAATATTGAGTGTTTCTTGTTCTTTTTATTGAAGTTATAGAGAAACCGGAATGGCAACTTTGCCGAGGTGATCGTTGGATTCTTGATCCACCTCTTTTCCCTGTTGCCAACATTTCGTAAGGCCTTGCATAGATTTCTCAAGTTTAAGACAAATCTCTGTCCATACTTGCTGCTATGCTCTGCTAAATGTTCATTTTATCCAACAGGTTACTGCGGAAATTCACCAATCCTATGGATCAAGCCTTCAGGCGATGCTCATTTTCACTCTTCTTTTTATTGAAGTTGTAATTAACTTAGAATGGGCAACATTGCCGAGGTGATCGATTTTTTTTCTTGATCACCTCCTTTCTGTGTCAAAATCATATCTTGTCCTGCATACGTTGCTCAAGTTTCAGGCATATATCTCTGTCCGAACTTTATGCCTATGCTCTGTTTATCCAAGAGGTTACAATTGTTGCATTCCCCAAATGAGGAGTATTCATCAAAGCTATGGATTAATCATTCAGATGGTGCTACTGTCATAGTTACTCTGATGGGAAATGCTCAGTGTCTACTGTTTTTGTTGTTGTAGAGAAATTGGAAAGGGCAACTTTGCCGAGGTGATCAATTCATTCTTGATCCACCTCTTTTCCCTGTTGCCAAAATCATATCTTGCCCTGCATAGGCTTCTCAAGTTTCAGACACACTTCTTTGTCCAAACGTGTTGCCTATGCTCTGCTACATGCTACTCCTTAACTGGTTTCTTATCGGTAGTTGCAAATTGTAGGTGTAGCCATTTGGCCATGTGTGATTTCTTTCATGGTAATCTTATTTTTCGAAGGCATCTTTAACGTGGTGATCACACCTATCTTATCGGTTTCTTCTTTCCCTGGTGCCAATGCCTTGTTTTGGCACTGTCGTGGACTTGGTAGACAGCTGATTTATTTGTCCTCCGTTTGTCATCTGTATACTCTTGTATATTTATCTTGAGTTGAAAGAGGTCGTTGTCTCCTTGACTATATCTCGAATGACTTAGCTCCAAATGACTGCTGGTTATGTCATGGTTACCCTTGACTCTTTTGGGATTCGTCTCAACAAGCTTACTTCCATCAAGATTTGCCTCTCGAACATCCACCATGAAGTTTTTTCCATCAACAACTTATATGTCGCATGATCATTCTCAGGAAGTTTTTTTGAGACATCAGTTCTCCAAGTGAAACCCCATTTTCCTCAGGAAGTTAATCTATATGGACAGGACAAAAATGGACGACAGACAGAGCCAGCTAACTGATGATCCCAGCATGCGGAGGATATTTCTGGGGGTGGATCAGCAGGTCGATGCGATGGCACAGGAGAACCTGTCGAAAGATTTTCAAGGCAGTGTCCTGAGGGATGATATTACGGGTAATGAAAGATGAAAGTGGTGTAATAGAGAGATTATGTTCGGAAGGGAAGAGGGGGATGACTCTGGACGTGAGAAGATAAACCCCAACTTCGGTCTGTGTCTTTTGCTCTCCTCTCGTCTTGAGTTTCTGCAAACGAAGCATCGCTTCTTCTGCTTGAGATATCTTATTTTCATTATTAATTACATTATACCTAACTAGTTGGGATAAAAAGTTATTTATGAATATATTTTTATAATTTTAGTTTTTTTTCCAAAATAAAAGATTATGGGTTTCAAAAATTTCGGCCTATTTCGAAGAGGCCCAATTGTTTTTCTTTAACAAAAACAAATTGGGCCTATTTCGAAAACGCCCATCGAACGTCCAAAACAAGCAGAAAGTCCGCTACTTTTTAATTTTTAGCTTCGATTTGTGTCATCTGGTAATACCACGCGCACTGAGAGCGCGTTGAGCGCGTGTCGCTATTTCTGCTGGACTATAGTCCGCCGATTTTTCTTGTTTTGGAAGAAATCGCTCTTTTGGATCTACCGAGGCGCGTGAGGATGATACATTACGAGATTGTTTTTCTTTTTAGCTAAAACATTAAAAAAAAGTACTAGCTGATCATAAAGTAAATATTTTAAAGTTATTCAAAATATTCTGTAAAATTTCCAGTTTCAAAATTGAGAAACTTTATTAGTTTTTATATTTCTCTATACATGTTTAACCAAGATTCTAAATGATTTAAAAAACTAAGCGTAAAAAGTACATAAATGTTAAACATATTATATAAAAAAATAATTTTAAAAACTATAATAATTTTCATGATCGATAAATTGGCATCAAAATTATACAATATCAAACTATCGTAAAAAACGAAATATCACAAAAATATTAAACCAACAATAAAAACATTATCGAAAACACATACAAACAAGTACAAAAACATACACATGCACACATCTATATATATATATATATATGCATATGCAAATTTATACATATATACATGCTTATATATATAATTTCTATAGTGATGTATGAATTATACAACAATTCATAAAAATATGAATGTTAAAATATTATATCAAGGTAAAATCGTATATAAATATTTTAAATTTTTATTAAAATCTCATATAAACTCTAAAACTATAAAATTCTCAAATAAATACATGATCTTTTCAAAAATATTATATAAATAATTAAACTCCCCAAATCGAAAAATGTCCTGAAGCCTAAAGAATTAATAATCGTGAACTCTCTTTTGCCATGGTTACCCTTGACCCCTTGTGGGATTCTTCTGTTAACCCCATTTATTCACCTCATTTCAATTTTCCCGTGTCATAATATGACCCCTTTTGAGAACGTTATGTTTCATCAATTGCCTCTACATGTGAATATATCTGTGTACACTGCAGATACCGCATAACAATCACGTATATGTCCCTAATTGACCCAGAAGCATTAAACATGCAGCATGTGTAAATGCATGAGTTCACATGGATGTGTGCAAGTACTGCACATACGGGACTTATATGGGTAAATGTACATGTATTTACACAGAACACCCTACCGAAATTATTTTAACCAGAAAAAAAAAAAAAAAAACTATGGGCCCAAGGAAGTATGGGGAAAAGCAAACTCACTTGTATAAATTGTCTTCAAGCCGAGGAAGATGAACACAGAGAAAAGAGATGATACATTCTTCTCGCTCACGGCAGCTTTAGAGCTTGCTCCACTTGTGCAAATGCTGAGGGATGCATCCTATTGATGACGGAATTGAAGGCCTCCCCCTGAAGTGCAGAACACGTTTGAAGATTCTCACGAACTGAATTTTCCAACGACATTTGGTTGATTGGGTCGGATACTTTGATCTTGAGACAAGACAAGGAAACCAAAAAACAAGAACTTACTTAAAGAACATTCATTTTGTTTGTTTGTAGAAGTTATAGGAGATATCTAGTTTACCTGTCTCATCCTTAACTCTTTGCTTGGTGGGGTCTCCTCTCCTTGGGATCTGCCTGAGCTCATGTCACCGCTGCCATTATACATGTTTGTAGAACTTATGTCCTCTTGTAAACTATTAAGTAAGAATTGAAAAAATATGCCATTAGTCTAACCTTGATTCTTCCTCTGTTAAACCATTGATTCCACCCAAGATCACACTGGTGCATACACTATTTCCAGAAACAAGATCATTTGTATTTGCACAGAGTAGAAACCACTTGTTACTTCTAATTACCGATCATGCGGAGCAGCATACTGATAAGTACTTCAGGGTTTACGTCAGAGGCAGGAAGAGAGGAAAGGAAGCAGTAAAGGGTGAAGGTAAAGAGGGAGGAGCTGAAGAAGTGGCTGAAGAAGGAGCTGGAGGAACAGAAGAGAGGAGCTGAAGCAGGAAGAGACATCTACAGAGTAAGGTACGCGTTTGATTGTATGTGTGTTTGTATATGTGGATAGTATATGTTGATTGTGTTTGTTTGTATAGGTGGTTAGTATATGTGAATGGACAGCTGTATAGTCTGTTATAGTTAGGTATGTGGTTAGCTGTTAGTAGTTCTGTTAGGATGGGATTGTATAAATAGAGTAGAGGAGGGATTGAAGGGGTTTAGGCAATTTCTAGTGGAGAATTGTAAGGGGAAGAGAGTGGGGACCTCTCTCAAATCAAAGTCATCCAAGTTGTACCTGTTTTCGGAGATCAATAAAGCTGGGCAGTTCTTCTCCAACTGTTGAATCCGAGGTCTGAACCATATCAAATTGGTATTAGAGCAAGTCTCATCAATGACGAAGAACAACGCGCAAAGAAAGGAGCAAATGGAAGATAGAACCAGTGGCAGATGCGAGATGATCGAAGAAACAATGGCGGAATTACAGAAACAATACGAAAAGATGGATGAATTACAGAAGCAGTGTTCCAAAATGGAGTACCTGGAGAAACAATGCGCAAGGATAGATTCGATGGAGCTAATGCTATCGAAACTATGCCAAATGCTAGCTGGGAACCAGGATCGGCAGGAATCTAAGCAAAACGCGAGTCCACAACCGATAAATCATCAGCAGAGCTCGCAAGGGAATCGCGATGCAATTCCAGATGCGACATGCAATCCAGAGCCAGAAGAGGGAAGCGATCAAGCACAGGAAGGCGAACAAGAGGTGCGAAACGCGACACATCGAACAGAAAGAGATAATGACAAGTATCAACAAGAGCAATTCACAGGAAGCAGTAGTACACATTTCAAAAGGATCGAGATGCCGGTATTTGAGGGAGCGAATGTGAACGCATGGATCACAAGAGCTGAAAGGTATTTTTCAATGGGACAATGTTCAGAAAACGAGAAATTGAGATTAGCTGCTATGTGCATCGATGGACATGTATTGAGCTGGTATGACTATCAAAATGGAAAGAAACCATTCAAGGACTGGGCAGACGTTAGAGAAAGGATAAGGAGAAGATTTGGTTGAAGGAAACTGGGCTCATCTTTCGACAGACTACTGTCATTAAGACAAACAGGTACGGTAGAAGAATACCTCTGTGAATTTGAAGAATTATTAGCTCAAGTACCTCATATTCCTGAAGAAATGGTAGAGAGTACATTCAAAAATGGATTGAAACCAGAAATACTGGAAATATTACAAATATTTCGACCTAAAGGCATGGAAGAAAGTAGATGTAGCACTGAGTATTGAAGGCAGCAAGTTAAGTGTTGTGTGTGGAGGAAAAGGAGGAGGTGATGGAAAAAATTGGAAGATGGGAAATACAGGTTCATCATTCAGAACAGTTTCAGTACCTACTGAAAACCAGAAGTACCAGAACCAATCATACAAGAGCAATTTTCAAGAACGAGGAAGACAGATCAGTGGAGGAAAAAGACCAAAAGAAGAGGGTGGGGTTCAAGAAAAGAAATCAACATTCAAAAGAATGTCTGATGCGGAATTTGAAGAGAAGAGGAAGAAAGGGATGTGTTTCAGGTGTGATGAGAAGTTTTTTGTGGGACACAGATGCAAACAGAAAGAATTACAAGTAATCTTTTTTTTTTTTTGGTTTAAGAATTACAAGTAATCTTAGCTGAGGAAGTAATGGAAACAGGAGAGGAGTTTGCTGAGCTATCACTCAACTCAGTAGTGGGACTAACCTCACCAAAAACACTTAAGATCCGAGGATCAGTAGGAGATCAGGAGGTAGTAGTCTTGATTGACAGTGGAGCCACTCATAACTTCATATCATTGAAGTTAATGACAAAGCTGAAACTAAGGCCTGAAGGTAACACTCAATTTGGAGTATCCTTGGGAACATGTATGAAGGTAAAAGGAAAAGGGGTTTGTAAGGCAGTATGTTTACAATTGCAGCAGATAGAAGTAGTAGAAGATTTCTTACCATTGGAATTGGGAAGTGCTGATATGATTTTGGGAGTACAGTGGTTGCAGAAGCTGGGAAAAGTTCAAATGGATTTTCAGGATCTGGAGTTGAAGTTCAATCAGGGCACATCATGGATCACAGTAACAGGTGATCCAACTTTACATAACTCATTAGTAACATTGAGATCATTGATCAAATCAGTTTGTGAAGGAGATCAGAGCTATTTAGTAAAGCTGGGAACAATAGAAGAGCTTGTGAGGGCTGACTCAAAACTTCCAGAGAGGTTACAAGCAGTGCTGGAAGAGTTTGGACCAGTGTTTGAAGTTCCTACTGAACTGCCGCCAATAAGGGGTAGAGAACATCCAATAAATCTCAAAGAAGGAACAGGTCCAGTAAGTGTCAGACCTTATAGATACCCCCATGCACACAAAGAGGAGATTGAGAAGCTAGTGAAGGATATGTTGAAGGCAGACATAGTGAGACCGAGCCAGAGCCCTTTTTCAAGTCCAGTGTTACTAGTTAAAAAGAAAGATGGTAGCTGGAGGTTTTGCATCGACTACAGAGCGCTGAACAAAGTCACAGTATTGGACAAATTTCCAATACCAATGATAGACCAACTATTGGATGAACTACATGGAGCAAGGGTGTTTTCAAAGTTGGACTTGAGATCAGGCCATCATCAAATCAAAATGAAGGCAGAAGACATTCCCAAGACAGCATTCAGAACACATGATGGGCACTATGAGTTTTTAGTAATGCCTTTTGGCCTTACTAATGCTCCAGCAACATTCCAAGCATTGATGAACGAGATTTTCAGACCATACCTCAGGAAGTTTGTGTTAGTATTTTTTGATGATATTCTGATATACAGTTGCTCACTAAGGGATCATGCAACACATCTACAGACGGTGCTAGTAGTGTTACAGAAACATAAGCTATACGCTAACAAAAAGAAGTGTGAGTTTGGGAGACAACAGATAGACTATCTAGGTCATATAATTTCTCAGGAGGGAGTGTCTACAGACCCAGCTAAAACAGCAACAATGCAAAAATGGCCAACCCCAAGCAATGTGAAAGAATTAAGAGGTTTTCTGGGGCTGACAGGGTATTACAGACGTTTTGTACAGAACTAAAGCACAATAGCTCGTCCCTTGACAGATCTACTAAAGAAAGATGGGTTTAATTGGTCTGAAGATGCTTCGAGTGCATTTAGAAAACTAAAGTAAGCTATGACATCTACTCCAGTTCTGGGATTACCAGATTTTCGTGAAGAGTTTGTGGTTGAAACGGATGCCTCGGGATTTGGCATCGGAGCAGTCCTAATGCAGAAGCATAGACCAATTGCCTTTTTTAGTCAGGCTCTGTCTGAAAGGGAGAGATTGAAACCAGTCTATGAGAGGGAATTAATGGCAGTGGTCCTCTCTATCCAGCGTTGGAGACACTACCTATTGGGTAGAAGTTTTCTGGTTTGTACAGACCAGAAAGCCTTAAAATTCCTACTGGAACAACGCGAGGTGAGTATGGAATACCAACGTTGGTTGACTAAACTACTGGATACGATTTTCAAATTGTCTACAGGCCAGGAGTGGAGAATAAGGCAGCTGATGGCCTGTCCAGAATGCCACACAACGCAATTCTGGAACCAACATGCATGGGTTTAGCCATAACTATCCCAAGAAATATACAACTGGTGGAAATAGAGAAAGAAATTAGACAAGACAGAGATTTAAAGGAGATCATTGACAAGCTGAAGGATGGCGAAACCAAAGTGGGAAAGTATCATTGGCTACAAGGGATGCTAAGATATAAAAACAGGTTAGTAGTTTCCAGACATTCAAGTTTCATTCCTACAATTTTGGCTGAGTTCCATGACAGTAAGATGGGAGGTCATTCAGGGGTGTTGAGAACACTAAAGAGGATACAGGAGATTTTTCATTGGATGGGAATGAAGGCTGATATTAAGAAGTATGTAGCTGAATATGCAGTCTGTCAAAGCCAAAAGTATTCCACTTTGGCTCCAGCAGGACTATTGCAACCATTACCAATACCGGAACAAATTTGGGAGGACATTTCAATGGACTTCATTGAAGGTTTACCAAGATCAGCAGGTTATAATGTAGTGCTGGTAATAGTTGACAGATTGAGCAAGTATGCTCATTTCATAGCCTTAAAACATCCGTTCTCAGCTATGGTGGTTGCTAAGGCTTTTGTTCAAGAGGTAGTTAAGCTACATGGGTTTCCAAAATCGATAGTTTCAGACAGGGACAAGATATTTCTCAGCAACTTTTGGTCGGAACTATTTCGGATAGCAGGTACAAAACTGAAGTTTAGCACAGCCTATCACCCACAAACAGATGGGCAAACAGAGGTATTAAACAGATGCTTGGAGACATATTTGAGGTGTTATGCTAATGCTCATCCTAGGAAATGGATTCAATTTCTGAGTTGGGCAGAATTCTGGTACAACACTTCCTTCCACACAGCATTGCAGTCCACACCATTCCAGATTGTGTATGGAAGGGAGCCACCAACTTTATTGAAGTTCGAGGAGGGATCAACTTCAAATTTTGAATTGGAAAAAGCATTGAGGGAGAGAGATAGAATGATACGGGAGGTCAAGCAGAGACTTCAAGTAGCTCAACAGAGAATGAAAGTATCAGCTGATAAAAGAAGACGCGAGTTGACATTAACAATTGGAGAGTGGGTATATTTGAAAATCAGACCCTATAGACAGAGTACATTAGCAGCAAGGGGTAATCAAGAGCTAGCTGCTCGGTATTATGGCCCTTTTCAAATAGAAGGCAGGATTGGAGAGGTAGCATATAAACTGAAGTTACCTAAGGGCTGTAACATTCATCCTGTGTTTCATATTTCACAGCTTAAAAAGGCTTTGGGGAGTTGGGAAGTAATCTACAACCAAACCAATTACCAAAGCAGTTGACAAGAGAGCTAGAACTACAAGTCCAGCCGAAAGACATCAAGGATTCCAGGTATACTAAAGAGGGTTGGTTGGAAGTTTTGGTTGAATGGCAGGACTTACCAGAACATGAAAATACGTGGGAAGTGGCTGAAGATTTCAACAAGCAATTTCCTAGTTTCCAGCTTGAGGACAAGCTAAGACAGAAAGGGGGGAGTATTGATAAGTACTTCAGGGTTTACGTCAGAGGCAGGAAGAGAGGAAATGAAGCAGGAAGAGACATCTACAGAGTAAGGTACGCGTTTGATTGTATGTGTGTTTGTATATGTGGATAGTATATGTTGATTGTGTTTGTTTGTATAGGTGGTTAGTATATGTGAATGGACAGCTGTATAGTCTGTTATAGTTAGGTATGTGGTTAGCTGTTAGTAGTTCTGTTAGGATGGGATTGTATAAATAGAGTAGAGGAGGGATTGAAGGGGTTTAGGCAATTTCTAGTGGAGAATTGTAAGGGGAAGAGAGTGGGGACCTCTCTCAAATCAAAGTCATCCAAGTTGTACCTGTTTTCGGAGATCAATAAAGCTGGGCAGTTCTTCTCCAACTGTTGAATCCGAGGTCTGAACCATATCAAATTGGTATTAGAGCAAGTCATACCTAAGTATTTGATCAAGCTTGTCAAGGACTTGAGGCATTCTTAGGGTAAGGATCACCGAAAGGGCCAGGCCAAATGCCTTTTTGTGCATGGGAGACACGTGATCTACCTGTTCATGAATACAAAAATGTCAAAGTTGAGAAGGATGTAGCCAATCATAAACACGTGAGGGAAAGTGTCAAAAGAATGAACAGTGCTATTGCCAAGGATGGCACCCTTGCCTGCTGGAGTAACACAGAGAGATTGTCCAGATGTTAACTGGGCCAGGTAACTGGTATTCATCACCAGAATCCTTGCTAAGATAGCTGCTGAAGATGCTTTCACCACAGTCTTGAAAGTACCTCAATCATCTCCTCCACCCAAGCAAATAATTACAAGTTTCTGAGGTAACAAACAAATAAAACCTGTAAGTGCTTAAAATCCTGGCATTTGCATATGTTTTCCAACGAAAAAAAAACGGTATAGAAAGTCACTTGTAAACAGCTGCTGATGAGAGGAGGGACCTGATAAGTGTCCCACATTGGAAAAAGAGAGGGATTTGGGGCCAATATATAAGAAGGGTCAAACCTCCACTCTTAAACTAGCTTTTGTGGTGGAGTTAGGGGCGTCCCACATTGGAAAAAGAGAGGGACAGGTCGTTCTCCTGCACGGTTGGGAGAGGAACGGTTGGGATGGACCGAGAAGCCGCCAGCGACAAGATTTGCCCCAGCCCTGTAGACATCCCTGTCTAAAGGGGGCGGTATTGATAAGTGTCCCAAATTGGAAAAAGAGAGGTATTTGGGGCCAATATATAAGGAGGGTCAAACCTCCACTCTTAAGCTAGCTTTTGTGGTGGAGTTAAGACCCAAACTATATCAGGATCTCCACAGGAAAGCACTGAGACATAAACGATCATATTTCGTCAAATCAAGAAGTTCAAAACTTCGACATAATTTCATAAATGGGCAGTCATTACTAACACACTTAACATTGGAGTGAAGCTCAGAATACTTCAAGATACCATATAATATAAGAAAATTTGAAGCTACATTATGCTCTCTATATTCAAGGAGCATCAGCCGGGCTTAGTACTACCGTAAAAATACAATTTTAGGAGTCAAATAGTCATGTTGAAAACACAAGACCATTATGTATGGCTACGGAAGTCTATAAAAGAAATGTAAAAAAATAATCATTTTAAACCAAAGAAATGCCAAAAAAAAATGTTAACTGAAAAGGTTTAATTCACAAGCTTGCATTAAGTCTACAGGAACAGAGTAACTTCTTCAGGATGACGAAAACTTTTAGCTTGCATGAATTGGACAAGCTTCGACAAAAGAGAGAACATACACACCTGTACCAAAATATCGATCACTGGCAAAGTCGACAACATCCCTTTGTCATTTACATTCCAATTATGAGATCAAGAATCTTCGCAACAGTGGGAGCATCATCATCATCATCATCATCATCATCAACATCAACATCACCTTAATCCCGTGATAAGGACAACAACCTACTTTTGATTATGATTAGAAAGAAGTGATGCGTTAGTCCACTGGAAAATGTCTTAAAAGTAATAGCTCAGAATGTTCTAGTAATAATGGAAGTATTAAACAAAAAAATGATCCAAACGGTCACCTCCTTGGAAAACAAAAAAAAAAAGCATGCTAATAGTTGGGGCACCATCACAGGAGCAAAATAAAGTGTGGCATCCCATAACTGCACTCATGGTACAGTGTTATTTGACACGACATATTTATATCAGCACAAAAGAATTATACATAGTTGAAATGTGGACACTTACTGTCATACTATCCTCGAGAAGGTTGAGTTCATCTGGGCTATTTACGTCGATGCTCTTCTGCAGACAACAAAATTTTGCAGAGCAATAAGAAGTTGAATCTGCAGGAGGCTTTGACCACAAGAACAAGTTTCTCTGATGTGTCACAGAAAAACTCAGTTAAAAAAAATACAGCGGAATGCTGGAATACCTTCTGGAAGAACTGGACCAATTTGTCTGCATATGGAATGATATCGCTAACATGCCCGATAAGAATAGAAATTAAATCCAGAACTTGGACCTGGGAAAACAGAAGAATCCAATCATGTGATAAAATGATGATAAGAAAGAGTTGAGATAGAGAGCCATAGAAGAACCCACATAGATTTGTAAGAACCTAGGCTAAAAGCCTAAGACTACAATGAAATCCTGGAGGCTTGGCTGTGTAATTTACCTTTGAATCGAACTCTTGAACTTCATCCACCAGATTAACAGACTGGGAGAAGATCAGAAAATTCTCGCTCTGAGAAGTTGGCATCTTTAATGTGTAAATACAAGGACCTACTGGCTGCCAGCTACAATAGCATTAGCAGATAAGCAATTTCAGCTGCATGCGAAAAACAGAAGAGTGGATAGAAAGGGCAATTTGACATATAAAGAGAAGATAAAAGCGGTAGAGCATAAATAAAAAGGAAAAGAAAGATGGACTGAATGAGCAAACCTTGACAGCCAGGCCATTGTCTCGCAACAATCTTACCAAAGAACAATAGACTGCCCTTTTTGATTCATCTTTAATCTGAAAGATAATGATCATCACAGAAGCACCATCACAACACATTCTTGTGCGATCAGAATATAAACTAACAGAACTATCGCAAGGCAAGAGAAAGCGGTATGAGAAAATAACAAATTCTAATAGACTCTACTTTCAGATAGAATAAACACACAAATTTCACTTTTACATGACCACCACACTGACTCAACTTATCATGAGAAAATATGTCTCTGATTTTGCGTATTTTGTTGCAATAAGAAAATGAGATCTCCTTGAAAGATATTCCCAACAATAGCAATGACTTGTCAAGATAAGACACAAAGATGGTGAACCCAGGGCGAATCACACTACCTCAGAAACCCATTGTCCTAATATGAGGACAACTTTTCGGTGGATGATATGTCTATTTGGATGGGCATTTGCGATTCCAAGAGATAGAGCACTGTTAAACCTGGAGCACGAGATAGAACAAAGTGAGTCAAGCTCACCATTTAGGTGATGACTATAATGGAAAGGGGCATGGTAAGCAATCAATGAGCCAACGAACAAACTCTTCGTCATTGTCCAAGCCATGTTAGCTGGCATGTGACAGCAGAACATGACCCCCCCCCCCCCCCCTGAATCACACAGCTGTATTCCAAGGAAATGAAGTAAAACACCCGCGTAGCATTTGAGGTCATGAACATACCAATCACTGAAATGAAGATAATTTGACAACTCATAGTAGACATAGGCAGCAGCACCATACGCAGCATCTTTATGTAGTAATGCAGGCGTTATTTCTGTCACAGAGGGGGGACAACTATTCATTGCTTCTTGAAGGATTGACACTACAATGGGTCCTAACAGCTATTCACATCAGTTAGTGCACCTCTTAGATTCCAAAACAATAATAACTGTTTAATACTATTTGCCAATATATAGACCTTCAGCAAAAGGCCTCAATTTCTTTGTCCATTGAATCATGTCCTGCTCATGATGGAAGGACTCAGGGTTCTGTTACCACTCCTCCAGGTCATTTGGTGTCAGAACAATGTACCTATTGAACAGGCATAAATCAAAGTTCTAGTAGAACATTATGACAGCATGTAAGCAATTGTTTCAAACCCTATCATGCTATACACCCAAACCAGCTTATCCTACGCATGCAATATCTTAAAACCCAAATTATATGAGGCCTTATCAACATTGCCACCATCTCCTCTTCCCTGCAGGTTGACTAAAATATCTTGAATGCCATATCAATGCCTTTACCCCGACAACAACAAGATCATTGCAATACAAGAAGGGAAAGACATAATTTCTTTTGTAATTATGCATTAGGGTCAGACATTTGAAGCTCTTGTTGCCATGTATTTTACCTTTCAAGTGAATAACCTAATGGTTGCAATAGATATAGTAGTATAGTACACAAATTAACCATGCCACAACTTGGAAAACCTTAGATTCAACATCTCTTATCATAGGTTAGACGTGTAACCTTCTTACTAGTATGCTGCACAAACGAATGATCCTTTCTGTCGGTAGAAGAGAAGAGATAATGCAGCCGGCTACATTCGACGCATTCTTTTTCATCTGCTCCTGTGTGACTCCATTTTCATCCATAACACGACCCACTATACATGGGTTATATTCTTTACATTCAATCACACATTTCACCAGTCTCTAGGATAATCAAAGCGAGCAATCTTCGAAACAAGAACAGCCAACATTTCAGCTATCTGTCATTGAACCCCACATGGAAAGCATTAACTTAAACGGGAATAAAAGCATGCAACCAGTTAATGCGAACCATTTGGGAATTAAATTACCACGGGAAGTCAGATGTATTCACAAGATGCATGTCTTAGTGGTCCTTCGTAAAATAGGGGGAAAAGTGTTAACAACCAAAGCATTTTATCTGTCAAGTGAGACAACAATTTTTGCCTCACGTGCGTTTTTCCACCATTGCTTGTACCCCTGAGGGAAATGCCAACCCTAAACATCAATGCCAATAAAACATGGTAGCAACATTGCATTTCAAAGTCTAAAGATTCAAAAAGCTAACCGATTCTGCAAATATAGAGAAGACACTAGCAGCAGCTCAGGTAATAATGACTGAATGACTAGTTCAGAGCATAATCTACCCCATTCGACAAATTTGGAAAATTAGGTTTAGTAATGGCGTTTAGGATACATTCATCGGCAACAACAAAATTCAAAAAATCTAAAGGCCATGAACTTATGAGTTGCTTCTGCCCCTCCAGTGACGATTGGTGCCATTAATCTAACATCCACGTGACACACCAAATGCTTGGAAGTAATGACTTCCTAAAGGAGCATGTAAAATCAACCGACATTACACGAGAAACGCCAAGCACCAAAGAACGAGACGATTGAAAAGAAACTGCACCATGAGGCAAGAACAGAATCAAGGTCTGCTTTCCGAGTGAGAAAATGCCGCCTCCGCTGGTTTCCGGACGGCTTCTTCGCTACTCATGGAATTCACCAACAGCGAGTACATCGCAGGCAAATCGGAAGCCGAAAGTGCCATTACCAAACTCTCTCTTCCTCCCGACCAAAATCAGAAACAAAAAGAACCCAAACCGGATCCGACGGAACCCTAGAGGCTTTGGGCGATCGGAGACGACGGCGAAGAGAAAAGCGAAAGAAGAGGATCGTCTTCTTTACGCTTCTTGACGATTTTCAAACTCTGAGTTTTTGCTCTAACCTCTTAAATTTATAACATGAAACAGTGGGAGATGACACTTGCCCAGTAAATTTCCTTTTTTTTTTTTTTTTTTTTTTTTTGCAAAACAAAATTACCGCGGAGTCCGACGAGTTCCGGTAAACCTTCTCAGCCAGGAAGAGGGTTTGGTTTTTCATTTATGGGCCTTGAAAAAAATCTGATCTGGGTCAAAGCCCAATTTCTGAGATTGCAGCGCGTGATACGTATCCTATTGGGCTCCGGTGAACCTTCTCAGCCAGGAAGAGGGAACTCTTTTATGGGCCTTGAAATCTGATCCGGATCAAAGCCCAACACCGCCCATTATCGTAGATTGCTGCGCGTGTTTATAGGGTGCGTGACACATCCAATCCAAAAACTAAAACTTTGCATACTAAAATCCTATTGGTCCAAATACGTGGGTATGATGTAATTCGCCACGTGTAACTTCTCGCCTAAGTCGCCTTATGTATGTCCTGGAAGAATCCCGAATTTATTTTTAGGTTATCTACACAAAGGCCACACATATTTCTGATATTATCTTAATGCTCCCCATAGCTTTTCCTACACCCAAAAACCAAATATTTCACACATCTAATCGGTCTTTTACATCGAAATTTTACCATCTAGTTAGATATCTTAGTATTCTATATTTCTGTATTTGCAGAATGTAGATGAATATTTTTGAAGTGTAGAGTGCGACTTTGTCCTGATCTAGAATACTGAGGGGGATTTTAAGTACAAACTATAGTAAGGGGAATATTTTGGCATTTAGAGATAATACATAGGCCACTTAACAAAAGATAGCTTGATATTTTTAAACCCAGGGAACCTATTTAAGCAGCATTCGTGTTGTTTCTGTGTTTCCCGAAACCGTTAGAGATCGATAAACATTGCTCCGAAATCCGAACGAGAAGAAGATTGAAGATTTGTTGTTGGGATGTTGAATACGCGGTTGGTGATCTTGTCGGCTCTCGTTTCTACATTGTTGGTGTTGTACGCCGGAGCCAAAACCGTTGATCCTTACAAGGTAGGGCTTTCTACTTCACCGGAATTTCCCAGAAGTACCTTTTATTCGATTTATCTCGTCCTTCTGATCGTATCTCGTTTCTCACAAGGGTTTTCGTGAAATTGGTTTGATGATTTAGCCGATTGTTTGATTGGGTTCTCGTTTGATTTTGGAAACGAAATTAGTCTGGGTTGTTGCAAGACTAGGGTTCCGTTTGATCCAGTCATTCGGTTTTAACGTTTTCTCCGTAGTTTGATAAGATGGATTCTCTTGTGTGATTGGTAATTTGGGTTTTGATTTTCGATGACGTTGAGCGTAGGTTTTTGTTGGAGGGAGGTCCTGACTTAGTAGTTCGAAAGAATTTGAACAAGGGAACAGCACAAAGTTTGAATGGTTGAGAAGATCTGGACTTCGTTAATAATCTCTTCGAATTTTGGTGTATATCGAGGAAAGATGGCGTTTCTGCTGTAGCTTGCTGTAGCTTTATTAGCTTTTTATATCACTTGTTAATAATTTCTCTGATTATAATGTTTTATGGTGCACCAATTAGTTTGTTTGGAGATTTCTCGTTGAATTTATGTTCTTTTTCCCTGTCTCTGACGATAAAGCTTATGATTCTTCAGGTTCTAGGGGTTGATCGTAATGCAAGTCAACGTGATATTCAGAAAGCTTTCCACAAGTGCGTGTTTTTCTTGCTCTAATTTCCCATTCTGATATTTGGTTAAGTTAGACCGGAGATTTTTGTTTGATTGCAAACGTACCATGAAAAGTATTTATACAAAGTACTCATCTATCTTGTATGATTTTCCTGTAGGCTCTCTCTGAAATATCACCCGGATAAGAACAAAAATAAAGGTGCTCAACAGAAGTTTGCAGAGATCAATAATGGTATGCATTTGTCTCTGTGTTCTCATCTGTTTCATTCCTGTTTTGTTTTCTCCTGATTGGTTCTCTACCGTCTCGTCTCTCCGATCTGCATCCTGAGATCCTTGTATTCCCGTAAATTCTTTTTTAGTTCGTTTGATTGCATTTGTGCGATACGGGTCTTTTCTTTAATTCCCTTCTTTAAAGATGTGAATATCCAAGTGGTCTTGCTCTGTAGCAACGGATTTTTGAAATGAATATGGTTTCAGTTGCCCTGTTTCTAACAAGTTTTGATTCTTCTTTATTGTTTCTTGCGTCCGGTAGCTTATGATATATTGTCAGACGAAACGAAAAGGAAAAATTATGATCTATATGGAGATGAAAAGGGGCATCCTGGGTTTGATGCTGGCTCTCCCGGAGGTAACGGGGGTTATACGTTTACACAAGGCGGGCAAGGACAGAGCGGGTTCAATTTCAGACCAGGTGATTGGCAGAATATGGGTGGAGGAGGCGGCTCAAAGTCTTTCTCTTTCTCCTTTGGTGGACCTAGTTCGAGTTCCTTTGATTTTGGTCTAGACGACATCTTTTCCATGTTTTCTGGCGGCGGTCAATTCGAAGGAGAGGATCAGTTTGGCGGTTCCCGTGGTTCGTCAAGGGCTGAATCCAGATCCAGGAGCAGCTCCACGAAAATCAGAACTATAAATTCACGGGTTTACAGAAAAGAAATTCTGGACCAAGGGATGACTTGGCTTGTGCTGTCACATTTGCCTTCCCTGAGGGGAACCGAGTATCATGAATCGATTATAGAAGAAGTTGCTGATTCTTTGCAAGGAGCTATAAAGGTAATGTTGCTTACCAAATTCTTTTTTCTCTATCCGTAGATATGCCTTTTCCATTCGAGAAGAAAAAAGTTTGGTTCAAAGCTGTAAATATAATCATTAAAGCTTCTTTTAACAGGTTGGACGTGTAAATTGTGAAACTGAATCCTCTCTTTGCAAACAACTCGGCTTACATCCTCGTAAAGCTCCTAGGTTGTTTGTTTATTCATGCGCATCTAGTGGCAAAGGCGCCTTCTTAGAGTACACAGGAGAGATGATTACAAAGAAAGTGAAAACCTTTTGCCAAGAACATCTGCCAAGATTCTCAAAAAGGGTCAACCTTAATGCCTTTGACTTTTCTGCGGTTAGCTCTGGAAGAACCCCTAAAGTCATGCTTTTATCAACGAAGAAAGATACGCCTGTCATCTGGCGTGTGCTTAGTGGCTTGTACAGTGGGCGCTTCAATTTTTATGATTCAGAGGTATGTGATATGTTACATCAATATCCTGAACCCATCTTTTGATTATAATGCTTTGATCATATAACATATAAATGAAAATATACGACTTTCTCGCCTCCAATATTCTATGTTGTAAGACATCATACAATGAACTTACTCGATCGCATGCTCTCTTCTTTTGCTAGGAAAAGAATCGCCCACTTGGGCAATATCTCTTTCTTATTTGTCTCCATTATGGCATGTAGGTTATTGATGCTTCTGATCCTGAGGTGAAGAAGTTGGGTGTGGATGCACTCCCAGCTATAGTCGGCTGGTTATCGGACGGGGAGAAGCAAGTCTTGAAAACAGGTATCACTGTGAAAGATTTAGGATCGGCTATCCAGGATCTTGGTAAATTACTGGAAGGATTCGAGAAGAAGAACAAGAAGGCCTCTTCAAGCCAATCACAGGGAGATTCTATGGAGAGGGTACCTCTCCTTTCGAGCTCGAACTTTGAATCTGTGTGTGGGGAGAGCACTCCTGTTTGCATCATTGGCGCCTTCAGATCTTCAAAGGGCAAAGAGAAGTTGCAGTCAGTATTGTCCAAGGTAAGCCAAAAAACAAGTTGCATTTCCTTTACACTTATAAAACCTATTATCCGACATGACAGTTCAGAAGCAAAACTCAGGTGGATCTTGTTCATGCTTTGTCAGAAGAGTGTTCAGTTTTTGGGTTTTGGATTGATGGTTTCTTGGCTGTCACGTTATGTAAAAAACATTAGATGAAGGCTGGATGTTGCCCTTTTGGACAATCAGAAGATGAATTAAAGGCCCTTTCGTTCCGTGTTTCAGGTTTCACAGAAAACACTGTCTCGAGGACAAAGCGATCAGGACAAGGTATCATACTCGGTACTGGACGCAACAAAGCAATCATCGTTTATGAACGCATTCGACAGATCAGAGTTCAAATCGTCGGAGATGCTACTGATAGCTTACAAGCCACGAAGGGGTAAGTTCGCAACGTACAGAGGGGACATTACAATGGAGGAAGTCGAGAAATTCATTGGGGCCGTCCTTAATGGGGACTTGCAGTTCACAAAGACGAGACAGAAGCCTCGGATCAAATGAAGCTTTTTCACCCCTTAGTGTTAGATGTACATTATTATACATAAGAAAAATGTAGTTTTTTTTACTCGGCTAAAGCCTAAAGGCAAAAGCATCTCTAATGGCTCGTTGCTTGTGTTGCAAGGTACTAGTTTCATGAGCTTTATGCGGCGATAGAACAAATCCACCTTGTATGTTCTGAAAAGGGTTATACGAGAAATATGAACTTGGAGTTCATGTACACACATACATATGTACAATTTCTGTATGGCGCTCTCATTATTCTTATTACATCAAAACCAAAGAAAAAAATGTAAGAAAGAAAAAAAAGAACACATGAAATGGAACAGAAGTCACCTACATGTCTGTGGTCGAGTGGTATCTGAACTGAAAGTGAGGGTGTTCCTCTTCCAGGTTAGGGTTCGAATCCAGGCATGTGGGAAGAGAGACATAGCCAAAGGTTATGTGTTCAAAGGCTGCTTCCGGACCTAGAGAGATGTAGGTTGGACCGAAGGCCCAGGTGAACTTTCTGGTTTGACAAAAAAAAATGAAACAGAAGTCAAGAAGCTAACAAGGACAAGACATCTGGTGAAGGGAAATATATTAAAATATAAGCGAAGCCCATTTGCTACACTTGTCCTTTTTATTATTATTCATAGTATTACTTTGAATCTTTGATGCTTCTGAATATTCGATCAGTTCATGTGGTCGCCATGCATGGGTGTCACGTGTCACCGTCTGCTGAAGACCACTTGATCTCCCGCTCAACGCTATGGGGTCCATTCCTCTAATTAAAAACAATACTTTTTTTATAAATTTTATAAAAATTTAAATAAATTTGTTACTTATCCCCTAATGACCAATTATAATTTTTTTCTAGATCCATCCATGCATGTGCTACTCACATATATATATATATATATATGTGTATGTATATATATATATTATAAACTTTTGCATGATAACCATTTTTTTAGAGAAAAAGATTTATCACCCACCAAAGATGACCTAATTGAACATATGCCACTATGTTTTACCAAAAAAATAAAAAAGGCAGTCTTCTGTATATTCGTTGGATAGAATCTGTAAAAAGTAAATAAATAAATAAATAAATAAGCATATGATTTGTTTGATTATGTGTTATTTTCTTATTAATTAATGGGTGCCCAAGTTGGAGAAGGGGAATACCGACAACTCCGTTGGTTTTTGTATGAAGAAACAAAGGACGAATAATGCTCGTGAAAAAGCTTAGGCGGTTTTATGGTTAATCCATTACCAACAAAAAAACAAATAAACGGTTAATATACATACTTCAAGAGATAACAATTAAAAAAAAACAAGTTGCATGAAAATCAATATTCATGAAAAGTGGATTAGGTGATTTAAAACCTCTGAAAGCTGCTCTAAATTTACAGTACTTTTTATAATCAAGAATATTAATGGAATTAATAAAATGGGATCCAGTGGGGAATACCATTAAAATATTTGAATAAAAGGGAAAAGCGCGGGAGGCGCAGCCAGCCACTCGCCCTCAACTAGGTCTGCATATATAAAAGACCAAAGTGCCCCTGGTAGAGCCAAATCAGGTAAAGCTCAAAAACCAAGCCGCAGAAACGGTCTCCATGTGCTGACCCAATGGCGTCACGAGTCACGACTCTTGCCGCGTTGACCGCCTTTGACTTCAATCCCTCTCCCCCCCCCCTTGTT